CTGGGGGGCCTAGAATCCATGAACCCTCGCGCGCTTTTTGCTTTTTTGTTCACTCCCCACACATCGGTAATAGAAACTAAAAAAAAAAACGAAAACGTGGGCGCGTATACAGCCAAATACCGCAGAAAACGGGACAAAACGCCCTGGTTGTCATGCAAACCATGGTGCCACGTGTGAAAAAAGCTCAGCTCTCGGCTGGAATCCGATGGTTGCTGGATCCATCCCTTCGAGTTCACTGCAGAGATGGCGCCAACGTGTTCGAAGAAGTTGCTCGACCCCCAAGTGGAGTACATTTATTGCTCGTGCCCCTAGCCAAAAGCTGGATAAACCTCAATACATTACATAACATTACATAAGCATCACCCTCCCAGCAACATGGAAGTGCACAAGCCCCTTTCCAAGAGGACAGTAGTCTTTCTATTGTCTTTTGCACCAACCCACGTTAGTCAGTGGTAGGGTAGAACGAAAGTCAGCAGGCGTCGGGCACTCAAATGTGAGCACAGGGATGGCCGTTTCACCACCAACGACTTGAATAGATTCGAGGGTTCTAAGCCACTTAGGCTCTTGCGCCTGTTCGTGTGGTAGTTTCTGGAGCTTACCAAAGTGGGAGAATGACCCCTGAATGTACCACTTCGGCCCCGGAACCTGTTGACTTTTGGTTCTGCCAGCATGGTTATAGACTAGGTCCTCCAGTAGAGAGGTTAGAATAAGGGTCTATTTTAGTAAGGGAACCCTCCCCCCAAAAAAGGGTGAGAAAGGGCCCTGCTGGGGGACCTAGGAGTTATCAACTGTAAACCGGGCTTAGGTCTGGCCACTCTGAAGGGCCTAGAGTCCTAGGTCCTCCAGTAGAGAGGTCCCCCTTTTTCTGGTTTGTCTATTTTAGTAGGGGAACCCTCCCAACCAAAAAAGGGGTTAAGAATGGCACTACTGGGGGACCTAGCTGGTGCACCAAAAGGTGATGCCTTAAAACTGCCAAACGGGATTTATATAGGGAGTGTGGAAACTTGGAGAAGGTTGACCTGAAAGGGAGGCTTCAAAGCCTCAAAATGATATCAGAAACCAGTTGACCTGAGAGGTGATCCCAGGAGAAAAAGAAAGGAGAACGCATCAAAGAACCGCTGGCCTTTTTCATACCTGGACCCGAAAGAACTACCCATAAACAAGTTGGATGTCAACAACTTCATCATTTAGGGTTGCACTAATTCCCATCTTTGGTTTGAATCTTAGGGCCCAGGTAGCCTTTAGTTCCCGACGTCGGTATAGGCGAAGGCTTCATTCATCTTGAACTCTGGTGCCCTGCGGCTCTCCGAAAAATCACACCAACATGGGCCATTCGCAGCACGAATGTCACTTTTAGCCGCGAATTCACTTGGCTCACTTGAGTGGATTAAAGACAAGTCCAAGCTGGTTGTTTCAACTGCCGCAAAGTTACCAAACACCAGGGCCGTGGGAAACGACCACTTCTGTGATACAACAAAAAGGGCTTCTCAAAGACAAACCTGCCACATAAAGAGGATAATCCCTTGTATCACAGAAGTGGTTGGAAAAACCCCGAGTGATCAACCACAACCCTGCCAAAGTCCAACTCCGGAACTGAGCCGGTACGTCTCAAACCAAGGACGTGGGAATATGGGATTCCCTTGGTTTAAACCACATACCTTGACGGAACCTAAAAATCCACCTGGTCCCGCTACATCTAGAAATCCTCAGCTGGCTTCCACACTGGCGAATGCATTCAAGGAACCCTGCAAGTTGACCCTGGACAATACGCCCATCCTTGGTGGGTGTCACGTGACACCCCCAAAAACCATCGCGGGCGTCCCATTCGTTTTTCCTCTTTCCCGGGTACCCCACAGATGGCCAAACGGTTCTTTTCCCCTTGGTTCCCCATTTCTAGGTTCCCCAGCTAGGTATTTTTTCTCACCCACTTTTGTGGTTGGGAGGGTTCCCCTACTAAAATAGACCACAAAAAAAAAGTTGGAAGCCTTATTCTAACCTCTCCACTGGAGGACCTGGCCATGAAAGTCACAAAATCGGGGAGGGCGGGGCACCTCAAATCACTTGACACCCCCAAGCCCACCCCCCCCCCCAAGTACCGACCCCGTGGACGCGAGAAACCGGATGGCGCGGTCCGAGTCACAGCTGGTGCATGTGGTGCAGTCCAAGTGCAGCTCCCCGTAGTCCTCGAGGCCCAGTCGCCCGTAACGCGATCGGCCATTGAGTTCAACGGAAGATATGCAGCGCTGAATACCATTTTGTTGGTTAAGCTTGTCTAGGTCCTCCAGTAGAGAGCTTAGAATAAGGGTTAGAATAAGGGAAAACATCGCGGGCCCGTTGGTGAACATTTAATATATAGCGGGTTGATGCTAACTTGTCCCCCGCGGGCCGGTTCAAGGTAACATATGCAGCGGGCCGAATACGATTTTGTTAGTTGAGTTTACTTAAAGACAGAAAGCACGAACACAAGAGGCCTTGAATCACTACACGTTTCCCTGATGATCTGGGCGCGATTTTGCTGTGAAGTGCCCCAAGCACAGACCAGCAAGTTTGGGGCCACATCTCCCAAAGATCTGCTTGAGAAAAGCACTAGCGGACACTGGCCAGATCGCAGATTCTTGTGCAGCGGATACTTCTTCCCACCTGTCCCCTCTTTCTTCAGGGACTGCGCTCGCCTTGTTTGGGTGACCTGCTTTGGTTCCACTTCCCACCCATTGAAGGCGGGGCCCAATTTTGACCCTCCGGATCCATGTTGTCTGCACCAAGCTTCTATCAACTTTGACTGTGTTCTTTGAGGTAACCAAAACCTTCCTTGAGGTCACTCAAAAACTTGGATATGCACGGACCTTGTCAAGCTTCCAGGAATAAATCAAGAAATCCACAACAATACACGACTTCACCAACAGAAGACACCCCCCCAACCAAAAAGGTGGGTTCTCATGTTGAATGGTGGGTTCTCGTCAAAGCAAGCCGAAAAGCGCGCCCTCGAGAGACAAACCCACTTTTGCAGAGAAACACTTGGGGTATCCTTTTGGCTTCCTTACCATGTGCAACCCAAAAAGGGCACCCTCAAAGAAGCACAAGCTAGAGATGATCCGAGAAAAGCTTGGCCGGCACCCAATAATTGGCACGTCTTTTCTAAGGGTTGGACCCCCAAAATGGTGATGTTCGTGTTGGGTAAACACCGCAAAAGGGGGTGCCAACGCAAAAAAGACAAACCACCCAACTCCTTTTGTAGGAGACGGATTGTTTTTTTTGGACCGGAGCCCGAGTGTGCGAGCTAAATGGATCTGGAACATCTGAAAAAACACTCAGTTGTTCAGTGACCCTGGAAAAAGAAGGGAACCCTTTTTTGGGCTTGGACCATTTTAGTGGGGCAGCCACCCAAAAAAACGGAAAAAGACAAAGGGGGCACTGAACAACCGAAAAAAACACGCTACCCTCCCAGCATTTCACGGAAAAACCTGACTTTCGGGCATCCCCCTAAAAGGAAAATGGTCCCCCACCAGGACCCCAGGTCCCACGTGAACTGGGAGGGTATTTTCTTGCAGTTTCCCGGTTGTAAGGCGAAGACTGGCGACTCGGTCCTCCAGTAGTTTGAGGTTAGAATAACTTCGCCCTTCAAACTCCAAGCCCTGGGGAAGTTCATCTTTTACAGACGTATAGCCCATGGTACCCCCCAAAAAGTTGCGAAAAGTTGTGTTTTTTTAGGAGGTAAGAGAAGGGTACCAACTTGTTTCTGGTTTGTCTATTTTAGTAGGGTTGAACCCTCCCCAAAAAAAGGGGAGAGAAGGGCACTAATGAAAAAAGACACCTACATTAAGGCAAAGACTGGCTATGTTTCATCTAGCGGTTCAGCTACCTGCCCCGACTCTCACCGCGACTCTCACCCCTCCCTCGCACACGCCTCCAAACGCGACACAGCCGCGCGCATCCTAAGCGCGAACAGGGCGTGCCGAGCGCAGGTAGTCCGAGAGCAAATTGGTGCAAAACCCATACGTGAAATGCGAAAGAAAAAAACTGTTTCAGACAGAAACAAAAAAACAAAACAGCCTTTGCAGCCATCAAAAGAGTCTAGCAAGTCAATTTTCAAGATCTAGCTCTTGCCAAAACCCTTGCAAATTAAAGGGCGAGCTGGGGATATGAGAAGCCCACAGGAAATTTGAGAGACGCACTGCATCCACGGCTACGTCGGGCAACCCTAAGCGCTTGACCCCAAAGAGACTCGAACACGAAGGCGCATGAACCGTGGCGTATCATAGACTCTGGACAATAACAGGGGGAGGGGGGCTGGGCAAAAAATACATCCCCTTGCGGTTCCGTTTGGTGAAGCTGGCAATCCGATCAAGTGCCCTTCTCCCAATCAGGAAATTGAGCGGTCGCTAAGCCAGTGCAGAACCTCCTCACATCCCACACAATCTTACCCTGTTGATCAGTTTGGTTTTGAATGTTCCTTACCCAAAGTATTTCCCCCGCGCGGGGCTCCCAAACTCCCTCTCTGTGTCGCACATGGGACATCATTGAAAACCGATGGATCTTCAGGAGATGTGCGATTGGAACTGGCCAACCGAAAGTGGCACGACATGAATCCTCGAGGGTCGGGTTGAAATGGCACGAGTCTCGCCCCAAACGTCCGCCACATAGGTGTCCTTTTAGGGGAAATAGATGGGTTTCCCTGGTAGATGATTAAACCACCAGGTAAACCAGGGCCATCTATTTTTCTAGCAAAACATCCAAAAAGGACACCTATGGTCTCGCCCCTCCGCCGAGAAACGTGTAGTTGGCGTTGGAGCACTTGCCGCGGACACCTTTGGCCCACTGCTTGGGGTGCTTCATCACCTCAGCCGTGGTCAGCCGGCTTAAGGTTTCCAGCACCGGTTCTCGGACAAAATCAACAGCGAAATGCGTGGGATCGATTTTCCGAAGCAACCTGAAGTCGAGCAAGAACGCATATCCAGCAGCTACATCGATCGCAACAACGAGGGATCGATGCTAGGTCCTCCATGCAGTAGAGAGCTTAGAACAACGGTACCCGATCTTTTTCTGGACCTCTATTTTAGTAGGGTTGAACCCTCCCAACCCCAAAAATCGGGTGAGAGAAAAGGGCACCGATCGCTGGGTGTACCAAGCGGCGTGGAAGCGCTGGAAGGCCAGGTCATACCTTGTGCCATCCCAACTAAAATGTGTGTCTTGCAAACCAAATTGTTGGTTCATCATCCCTCCAAACTAAAATGTGTGTACTGAAAAATATGTGCCATCCCTCCAAAGTAAAATGTGGTTTGTGGCTCCACAACCAACTGAAATGCATGGGTTTATGACAGGCTGACGCAAAATCAGGACATGGGCTCGGCCTTTCACGGGCTCTCCAACACGCCATCAGCTCTGTGCTTCGGAGCGATGTCCGCTCTCATTGCCGGTTTGGAGCCTGGTGGTTTGGTCGTCCGGGGGGGCTCCTGGTTTCCCGGTTTCCTCTCGCTTTCCCACAAAAATCCGACTCACCCAGTCTTGGCTTAAGAGGGGTGGTTTGGTTCTTTCTTTCGTGGACCATGTGGCCCCAAAACTGGCTTCCCGGCTTTTCCCTGTGGTTTCCCTTTCCCCAACCAAAAGGGGCAACAAGAATCCCACCTTTCCCAAAGAAACCGGCACAGAGACCGGACCAACGTGACTGAACCCGGAAAAAAGGTTCGCTTCAAGGAAGCCGCCTCCATGGAGTTCCTTGCGGTCCTTGAAGCCAGTTCCCGGAGCCCAAGAGATCAGATGCGGAAGGGTACTCACTGCCCGAGTGGCGCCCGTCCACTCATTTCCCGAGTGGTGAAAGGGCGGAGTGAAGGTATGCGAATGTTGATCAAGAGACAGGTGGAGCCAACGGTAGGACCAACATGACGAGAGCAGGCGAGGTTTGGCACCAAACATGTTTGCCAGGACCCTGAGGATTGCCCGCTTTGCCATGTCAGCCGCTTTTGCACTGTAAAAGGTCTTTGGAGGCCAGCAGAAACCCTAAACGGGCGAACCTCCTCGGGGTTGGCGCCAAACACATGGAAGTCGCCAATGATGGCTTGCATTTTGATTGCCCATGGGCGAACCTGAGCTCGCATGTACCAAGCTATTTGCAGGCTACACCAGTACCTTGCTTGGAAGCTTTCAACTAGGTCCTCCAGTAGAGAGGCTAGAATAATGGTACCAACTTTTTTCTGCAGTCTATGTTAGTAGGGTTGAACCCTCCCAACCCAAAAAAAAGTTGTAACAAAAATGCACCTAGCTCGGGGACCTAGCTCCTTCCCTTGGTACGTTGGAAGGATAACAAACAAAATAGCTTGTATGTGGATTTGAATTTCAACCACTAAACCACAGTAAGCAAAGATGTAAAATGCAAATCCCAACAACCACCATTTGCATGGGATGACCATTGGTGAACCCCCCCCCCCCCCAAAAAAAAAGAGAGAAATAACAGAAAAAGAGCATGACGTTCCCACGAGATGGGAACAGTGGCACATGATGTTTCCCAACAACCACCATGCTGCTTCCTTGGAAGCGTTCAAAGTCGCAACCCGAGAGTTCGAGAGCGCGAGAGCGCGCGCCACGCCGACTCCGCCGACTCCGCCGACTCCGAGGCGCCGCTCTTTCAAGCGCTGGGCCTTCTCTTGGACATCCGGCGTGCCCTCCTCAAGGCCTCGGCTTCCGGAAGCCCGACGCCAGGCGCGGGAGCTTATGTGTCTATCAAGGGAAATACCCGGAAAGAGAGAAAAAAAGCACATGGAACACCGGCCAGTTGGTGGCAGGGCTGTTGGCTACAGTAGGGCAAATTGGGACACCTGGCATGGTCATGCTGAAAGTTTGGAGGTGAGGGGGTGATCTACTAGTTGTACAAAAGGGTGGTCTCTCTTTCTCTTTCTATGTATACATAAATGTTGCCTTACCAGCTGAAATTAACATCCATCCCCGCAAAACCCATACCTAGAAGTACCCTTGAACATGACAAGGTGTCAATTCTTTCAAGAGGAACTGCTGACAGGTTTTGTGGGACTACAAGCTGCCACAGGTGCTGCTATCGCAAAAGGAAGCGCAAGGCAAAGGAAGGAAGCGCTGGCCCTTGAAGGGGGGAAAAGGTGAAGTGAAGTGATGGGTCATGGTCATAGGTGCCCTTTTAGGTTGGAAATAGATGGGTTTCCCTGGTAGATGAGCAAAAACCACCAGGTAAACCAGGGAACCCATCTATTTTTCTAGCAAAACAACCAAAGAGGACACCTATGATCATGGCAGTGGGGTGACCGGAGGAAAAAAACACCTGCTTTGGGGCTTTGGGGGGGAGAAACCTTGGAGTCTCAGGAAAACAGAGGGCATGAACCTACCACGAACCCAGGCCCTGGAAAGAAAGGCGGCACGGAAAAAAAGGCCGGATGCAACAAAAACAGCTGACTTCTGGCTGGATTCTTGTTGGATTAACCTCTACAAAGCGGTGTGGATCCGCGTTTCTGTTTCGGCGGATTTCACCAGTTCTTCCCCCTGGCTCCTCTTGATTTAGTACCCTGGTACTCTTTTCATGGCCTGCAGGAGTGGATCCACGAAGAAAAAAGACATCCAAGCCGGTTTCTAGAAAACCGTCCTGGGTGTTAAACTCATCCACTTTGCCTAGGTCCTCTAGTAGAGAGGTTAGAAAAAGGGTACCCTTTTTCCTCTAGTCTATTTTGGTGAGGGGAACCCTCCCCCCAAAAAAGGTAAAAGGGCACTACTGGGGGACCAAGCTGCGACAAGCCCACATTGCGTGGTCCCCGCAGTCTCTTGAAAAAACATAACGGAAAACAGGATCCTGTGAGAAATCACCCCTGCGATGCGTGGGACTTTTTCACCCCCTTCATGCACCCAGGATCAATTGAACCCTTCGATCAATTCATAGGGCTGAAGGTGTCTTTTCGCAGTTGAACCCTCCACTTTCGCAGAGGAAACACTTGGGGCCGATAATTAATCGAACAGAAAGCCGAAATTCAAACAAATGAGTTCTATGCTACAAACCTGACCAGTGCGTGGATCCCGGTGACTGATTTTGCAGGGCCAATCCTCAAAGTTCCAACTTGAAAATCATTCCCTCCTCCCCAACCAAAAACGTGGTGAATTCCATCGTCCGAGGGGCCGATCACCACCACCAGACGATGGGCCACTGTCCTTACGGACCGCAACCGCCAGTTCACCCCGGATAAATGGCATGGGCAGGGGTCAACATAGGAACACCCCCCACCAAAAAAATGCTTGGTTTCCTGTTGGTTCCCTGTAAAGCCAAAAGGCCTCGAAAACAAAAAACGAACACGCACACAGACCATTCGTGTGAATTTGGGGGGGAATCAAGCTTCTGGACTCAATAAGTGAAGTTTCAAAACGACTCGAAGCAATAGACCCCGATTCTCGGGAGGTCAACTGATGCTGGTTTTGGGGTTGGGAAACAAACACCCTTTTCGCGCCCGCAAATACAGGGCAGAAGACGCACCGCACCCATTTGCCCAAACACGACAAAACTACCTGGACTCAACCAAAAATCCCTTGAACGTACTGAGCAGCAAGCATCCTAGCAAGGCACCTTCTGCTCTGGAAATCGGACGCCGCCCGCAAAACATGCGTGAAGACTGCCAGCGAAACGAGGTTCGCGATGTGAGGCAGGGCTGCAGTATTTCCAAAAGCTGCGGCACGCGCGGCTAAGGCGCGCGGTTTCCTACTCATGCGAAAAATCGCTGCTCATATGGCTGCCCGCTTGCCCGGATAGCAGCGCAATGCCTTTACGGACCTCATTGCGCTGCAGCCGAGTTGGCCTGGGCGCGACTTGCTCCCCCTAAAAGGACCGCTGGCGCGCGTAACCTGACAGCTGATCTGGAAAACCGCTTTCTGACCTCCAGCTGCTGAAGCCGTCACCCAAGCTGCCCATCAACAATCAGCAAAGGGGCGCTTTGTTTAGCGGTTGGTTTGAATTGCCAAAGAAAACAAGTCAACCGTTCATGATAGAAATGAGAAAGGGGTCAAAACCAAAGTGAGCCTGGCGGCCCTCCTATTGCCCCCTGCCCGCCGTTTAACTTCCAACAACTTGTGGACAAATCATCTTTTCCAAAAATTTACAGGTAAAAGGTCCAACCAAAAGCAGTCCAGGAAACGCAAGGTGGCCTTTCAAAGTCGATCCGACTTCGGCATATCCATCTCCAGGTCCGCCGCAACGAACAAAAACTTTGAGCAGAAACACTGGCACATTTACAGTGGGACAAGTCGCTGTCTTTATGCGGAGCTAGTGATTGGCACATGCACGCCATCCTATTTATTCTGCCCAAACTTCCCCGTTTACAACTGCTCAGATTCTGGCCTGATTCTCGCGCATTCTTCTCAACATCGCCTTCAGCAGCAGAAGGACTTTTCATTGAATTTGGATTCAGCATTGAAATAAGACTGCTTTGCGTTGCGCTACTATTGAAGTTGTCAAAACAGCCGCGGAGCGGTCGTCGGGGTACAAATTCTGCCGGCCGGAGCGTGTGTGAGGCAGGCGATGAGCGAACATACCTACATCTCCCGCAGGCACCGGGGTGCAAAATCTACTGGCTGCTCGGGAGTGCGAAGCTCTGTGCAAATCTCTTCAAATAGTTGATGGAGCAAGGGGTAGTGAACGACAGGCATTGAACCTGCTCAATACCTATTGAACGGGGTATTTTTCGCGGCAGGGAAACCCCATTCATTGATTCATAGCCCAATACATGCAGGTTTTGACTCACAGCTGTGGCCAAATGGCACCCTGGCAAATGGAAACAAAGACCAAGACTCGTTTTGACTTTCTGAGCTCCTGAATTTTGATCCACCCAGCCAAGGCCAGAAATTGCCGAGCAAAAACAACTTGAACCCCAAGCAACAGACCACCCTTCTTGCAGAGCCCCGCGCAGAGCTTCCGCCCGCGATCTTCGCCATAGGACGATGCTGAGACAAACAAAGCCTTCTCCGAGCTCCCAATCAAAGCCATCATTATCTAGGTGCTCTTTCGTGGGTGGATTCTCTCTTTGGGCAGTTTTTGAGGCTCCATGTACAATGTTCAACCCGGAAATCCCCAACGAGGTGCCCCAGTGGAGAGGCTAGAATAAGTTGGTACCAACTTTTCCTGCAGTCCATTCTGGTAGGGGAACCGTGAAAAAGGGCACCGATCGCTGGGGGGTGGGGGAGGGGTTGGGGGGGTCTTTTTGGGCAGGTGAGTTGGGTGGCTCGTCCATTTTTGTGGTTGGGTACCCTAAACACAAAAATGGCGCCAGGAATCTTTCACTTTGGGTTTCGACCAAGATCTAAGCCTGGAACTCAGTTGTTCAGTGGCCCCCTTTTTCCTTTTTTTTTGGTGGCTGCCCCACTAAAAATTCGGTCTTCCCAAAAAAGGGTTCCCTTTTTTTGCCAGGGTCACTGAACAACTGAGGGAAGGGCTAGCTTCGAAAGAGACAGCCCCATGTCCTTTGGCATTCAGCACTTGTCCCTTGACGGGATTCGAGATGACGGATGCGACTAGGTCCCCTTCCCCCCCCCCAAACAACCCACCCCACCCCTACCCCCAAGCCCCCCCCCCCCGCCCAAACACCCACCGCTCGCTCGAAAAGCCTCCACAAAACCCCGCAAGGCTCTGCGCCGCCAGGGACTCCACGGATTGGCAGATCACCTCCATGGGCTCCTGCCGCGCGAATTTTCTTCGAGAGGCGGCACCGTGGAGATGCGAGTCGAAATCGCGCACTCTTGGGGGATGACCCGTTACATTTGGCTCGGTTAAAAAAACTGGAACAACAAGATGGTTCTTTGGAATTCATTCAAGAAACAAAAAACAAGCTGCCTCCCAACAACAGTATTATTTGTTGGAGGCTATTCAAAGGCAGGATGCATATTTGCTCGGATACAAGTCGAAGACCCCGTGACCGGCACACTAAAAAAAAGCCCTCTCGCTTGGCACCCTTGACACACGGTTGGGGACCACCTTTGCTTTGGTTGCTTTCAACTTTTAGTGGCTGAATACGGAAAACACATTAGTTGGCAAAAAGTTAAAGTCCTAACATGCACCAAAGTTTTCTTTGGTTCGTGGAAAATATGACCCTTCCTTCATTTGTTGGAGGCGAACTGGAAGATCAATTTGCTCTTGAAGGGACCCTCAAACTGAAACCGGGCTGTGGACCGCTGAGAAGATGAGTACTTCCAGGGCAAGCCAGCCGTTTTGGAGGGTTACCCGATTTTTGACCCATTGCATGTAAACCGGTTGATTTGGCTTCCTTCAAAACTCAGATTTCCAACTTGTTCCCACATTCAAGTCCCTTTTTGCACAGACCGGCTCACATTTTAACGCACGCGCCAAACATTTCAAAAAGAGCCTGGCCATAGATTCAATCGACGCGGAGCTCGCGAGTCGCTCTTGCGGGCCGTTCGCAGCTTCCCTCGTGGTTTGGAACCGAATCGGTTGGGAGGCTCAGGAGTTTCCCATTGACCCTCAACAGCCGGTTCAAGTCCGAATCAAACCACCAATCCAAACCACCAAAGGGTTACCGGGTGGTTAAGGGAGGAGTCCTCCACAAAAGCCGGTTCACATCCAAACCGCCAACTCTTTCGGTTGCCTGAGAATACTGCCGAGTCCCAAAGGACAATTCCTAAGTCCAATGGCGGGAGTCGATCAAATCAAATCCGTCATTTTCGCTTCCTTCACGGAACCGTGAGTTGGCCACCCAAACAAGTCCGAACTTCATCTGGCAGTGGCTCAAAGCTAAACAGGGGGGGTTACGCAGGTTTTGGTCCATGTTTCCACTTACCAGGGTTCCGTTTTGGTACCGGTTTTTTGAGCCATACCCATCTTTACAAACCAAAATGGTCTTCGCAAAGAGCTTGTCCAGGAACTCAAAGAGAGGGTAAGTGCCTGACAGTTGGGTGAATGTCGACGTAAGTCATTTGTGGGCAAGGGGATAACTAACCCCAAACAAGGGAAGGGTGCCCCCGAACTCATTTGCAAGCCTAAGAAGGACCACTTTCACTCCAACATAGGTCATAGTCCTCCTTTGAAAATTTGAGAATGGCCTTCCAATTTTCAAGCGTTTCCTGGACGCGTCCCTTTTCCCCCCATCGACCAAAGTTGGTGTGTGTGTGTGTGTGTCTTCTGTTGAGGGTGCCCTTTTTGGATTGGTTAAAATGGAAAATCAAAAGAACAACACATGTTTGGGGGGTGCACAAGTGCACCTGGACCCTCACAATTCCCTGAAAAAAAGATGGCTGCAACCCAAAACTATGGGGTCCAGTCACATGCACAGGAACATCAGTATGAACACATCGACAATTCCTTCCAGGGTAAAGGCTGCGTCCCTTGCCGCCTGCAGTCGCTGAGTGGACCAAAGTAGCATGCAGGTATTGCCAGCATGATGATTGTGACTTGTCAAAACCAACTCTGCTTGTGGCATGCTTGTCACTCTTTTAGGCACAAGTACCTGGTTTGAGGAGAAAAACCCGTATCCATCATCCCAAATGCAAGCATCTAGCAAGACCAATTGGAAGGGAACATGGATTCCCCAGGATGACTTGAACTTCCATTTGCTTTTTCGCCCCCTGGAAAAAGTACAATAAAATAGTTCCAGTGGTGAAATCGATTCCCTTTAAAGCCAGCAAGAAAAACCACCTCTTAAGCAAATGGCTGTGGCTCAAAAAACCGGAACTCCAAAATGGCTTGCCCTGGTACGTGGAAACGTGGACCAAAACCTGCGGTTTGCCCCTAGCTCTTGAATTCTGAGCCACACCCAACTGGGTTTGAAGGGAGTTCTCACGGCCAAGAGGAGTAGGCCTTCCTCATAGGAAAGAAAAGATCACCCGATCTCAAGCACCAAGTCCAGCAGCTGTGGCAGGCAAGTCTTGCTACGCCAGCTAGCGTTTACTTGCTTTTCGCTCGTGTGGGGAACCTCAATTGAGCCACTTGCTCAAAGCCCGGTAGTACAATGGTCGTACTCCCAGAACCATGTGAAGAATTTAGAAAGCGGATTCCCGCAGCTGTTTATGGTTGGGATTATCCCTTACTAACCTTCATTTACGGTGACTCAATTGCTGCCCAAAAGCAACCACCGGCTCATACTGGCTTTCTATAACAGGTAGGTTGACCTACGGTCCTTGTAGCCGCACATCATCACGAGATGTTGCAGTCTGTCAGCCAGGCTCCTCTCCTCGCCATCGCTCAAAGTCGAGGAGGGGGCGGGCACCCTGCCCAAACAACCATTAAGCCACCCACAAAACACAAACACTGAAAGTAAGAGAGAGAGAGAGAGAGAGAGAAAAAGAGAGAGAGAGAGAGAGGGAGAGAAAGAGAGAGAGAGAGAGAAAGAGAGGGAGCAACCCTAAACCCTAGACCCTAAACCCTAAGGCCTAGTCCCTAAAACCCTGAACCCTAAAGACAGATTGGGGCTCATTTTCACATCTCGTCGACGCTCCTCTTCGGTTCCGCGCGGGATCTGGTCCTCCCACATCGAGTCCGCCACCTGCACACGCCCGCGGCACGCGGCACGCGGCACGCGCTCGTGGCGGCGAGTCGGGAAGCAAGAGCTGGGCGAGTCGGGTCCTCCACATTTGAGAGGTTAGAATAAGTTGGTACCCGATTTTTTTTCTGGCTTGTCTATTTTAGGGGAACCCTCCCAGCCCAAAAAGGGGAGAGAAGGGCACTGAGGCACCTAGTGGGGTCTCCTTCCAAAACGCGCCGAAACGGACCCTGAAACCCAGAGAAAAACCACGGAATTCAAACCAACCAGAAGTTCAACTGAAGTTCAAGGAACACTCAGAAAAATGCCTTCATCACTCAGTTCTCCTTGCAACCTTCCTGATCACTAGCTGGAGGTGTGTTGATCAGGAGTCAAGAACTCGTCAAGGGAAAAAAATAGAAAATTGGCTGAAACACAAGGTGAAAGCAAGACAGAACACCCGCTTTTAAACCCATGCCTTCGGATCCTCACGTTGGCCTGCTGGGCAGTAACACAGGTTTGCGTGGTGCCCCCGCGTTTTTTTAGGTGCAACCGCCGACATGTAGCCAGACATAACCGCTGCAGTACCAACTGGAATGTGTCCCGCAGTCAGAGGTTCCAGTCCTCAGGTCCCCCACGCCCCCTCCTCGAGCTTTTTTACTCCCACCCCATCCCACGTACCACTCAACCCACAACCAACCTTAAACCCCAAACCAATCCTACACCCCTAACCCTTAACCAACCCTAAACCACTAAACAAATTTAAACCACACTTTAACCACCCACCCAACCACCCAACCCCCTTGGGGGGGGGGTCCATGGCCTGGAACATATATACATATATGATACTGCAATCAGTCGCCTTGGCACTGGCTAAGAGATTGGCGCATGCGGTTTTCGCGGCAACGCCGAGTGCTTTTGCATCTGTGGGCCAAAGGAAGCCTTCATTTGAAGCCATGACAAAGTCCGTTTGCAGCTCCGGAAAGCGGCCCTGAAGCACACCACGAAGCGCTTTGCGTGCCTTTGGACCCCGAGTTATAACTAGGTCCTCCAGATTTGAGAGGTTAGAATGAGGGTACCAACTTTTTGCTGTAGTCTATTTTAGTAGGGGAACCCTCCCAACCAAAAAAGTTACGGTAAAAGGGCACCTAGCTGGGGGACCTAGATAAAGAAACCCTCCAGCTGAGGTGCAAAATTTGTTTCAGAGGCCCCTTCAGGGACTGGGTGTCAACAGCCGAAAGGCAAGCTGATCTGTAATCCGTGGTGGCGGTGGAAGCCAATAAGCATCTTGCGGATTGATTTTCACCCACACCAAAGTCAAAGTCTCCCTTAAATCGGCCCTGGACCCTCAGTTCTCCCGTAAAATCAAACTCTTGTCCCAAAATGCTGAAACTTCTCTTTCGTATGGCTCCAGGTCGACCTGTTTTTTGGCGGCGACCGGATTTTTTGCAGGGTGTCCCCTCAAAGAAAGGCACCACTTTCTCGCGGCCTGGTGCATGAGGCAGTGCGCGCTCACGGCATGCCAGGCGCACACCTTTGAGTTCGATCCGGTGAAACTAGCTGACCTTTTGCTTAACGACAATCGCTGGGTGAAAAAACAAGCGTTGCTGACCTTTCAGTTTCAAAAACAATGTCGGTTGGAGGATCCTACCTTCTTCAAATAGTCAGCTGACCATTCGGTTTCAACAAAAATAAGTCAGTTGGAGGATCCTACCTTCAGAATCGATGGGCATCTTTTGCGGGACACCGCCAGTGGAGTTTCCAATGTTGATCTTGACAACGCAAAAATCTAAACCCGTGGAACCGTGGAACCCAGCTGGATAGTTGCTCCGCCATGGAACCACACAATCCAACCAAGATGTTGTAACTTCTCCATGTTTGCTTGGGGATACTTTTGGCCAACTGCTGGGATAAGAATGAACCACACTGCTTGGAACATGTCCAAAGGCTTGGTGATGGCTTGGTGATAATCTTGCCAACTGGTGGCCAAAAATAACAAAATATAACAGGTGATAATTTTGCCAAATGGTGGCACCGCACACTCCCAAGAAGGGGTACGGCATGGATAGCAACATATGAATGTGGATCAAACCAATTGTACCATTTTGGGGAATTCACCACCCATTTTAGGCTTTATTTTTAGTTGGGATTGGGATGTTCACTGGGGGTACGGGCTTGGATTTTGACCCATGGCCATATAACAAAATGGTTGGATGTTCAAAACCTCCCGCGACGAATCGATTCCGAGACCTGATCCGCTTCATCAAGCCTCCGGCCCCCTGTCAACCAATTATCTCAAAGTCGAGGGGGGGGCCCAGCGAATCCTAAAAAAAAAGAAGACACAACACCTAAAATAAATACCCCTCCTTCAGGTCTTCCCTTGTGGCTTTTCCTTTTAAGTGCCAGACCCCAAAAAGCGGTTCGCCTCCAAAAAAAAGAAAATGGACACCAACTTTTACTTTTTCTTTTGGGTGCCAGGGTGTGGAGGGGCACCTCTGCCAATGGCCAGGGGCAATCGAAAGATGTCAATTGCCCCCCCCCCCCCCCAACAGCTCACAGCGCTACCCCCTCAACATAACCGATCGGTATGGTTTTTTGACCTCCTTTTTGAGTGGGTGGACATGATACCAACTGAAAAAAGAAAAGGCCGGGTATTTGGAGGCTACGGGGGCTCGAGAAACTTGCGATCGGTGCTCTGGGGAAGGTGGGAATCAAGCCAGGCAAAGGGGTCCCCTAGGAAGAACCCAACTAGTTGGATGGTTTCTTTTGGAGGTCACGGGGTACAGCCCTGTTTTTGGTGTAGCCGCGCCCCAGGTTTTGCGAAGAAGCCACGCCCGCGGGTAGTGACGCAAAAAAGCGGGGTCGCGGGGGGGTTCAGAAAGACGCCAGATTCAGAGTCCCGTCTCCCAAAATTGGTGGGGTGCCGTCTCCCTCGCAAAGCACTGCTGTTATTCCCATCTTCGCTTCTTGTTTGCTGGTTTGGAGCCCAGTGCTTTGAACCGCTTTTGGGGAGTTTTCCACTTGTGGTTCCCCGTCTTGTGCCTTTTCGTTGGGACAGTCATGTGTTCAGCCATCAACATGTATGTGCCCACGATTCTCCGCATTCGGAGGTCTTTGAAGCTGTTTACATGAAAACTATTGAGTCCAAATATCCTTGGTTGGGCTTTCCAATGTTTCAAGGTGTCTCTTCAAGAACCAGGGCTTCAAGAACCTGGAGTTGTAACTCATTTAGGATGCGATTTCTCATGTTGAGATTTTCAATTGGTTTTCCTTAGGCTGAAAAGGACTTAAAAAACACAACTAGGTCCTCTAGTAGAGAGGTTAGAATAAGGGCACCCTTTCTTCTGTAGTCTATTTTAGTAGGGGAACCCTCCCAACCCAAAAAGTTACGGTAAAAGGGCACCTAGCTGGGGGACCTAGTTCAGCCGAAAAGGACAAAAAAAAACCAACCCCGCCCCGCCAACCTTCGGACTCGCCCATAGGTGTCCTTTAGGGGAAATAGATGGGTTTCCCTGGCAGATGATGAAACCACCAGGTAAACCAGGGAAACTACCAAAACCACCAAAAAACACCAAAAATCACCAAAACCAAAACCACCAAAACCACCAAAACCAAAACCACCAAAACCACCAAAAACCGCCAAAACCAAAACCACCAAAAACCACCAAAACCAAAACCACCAAAAACCTATTTTTCGACCAACACCGCCAAAAAGGACACCTGACTCGCCGCGAATGGCCCAAGGCGCCGAGAGCAGAAAGGCGCCCAGCCAAAGCACGAAGAGCCAGTACACGGCCGCGAAAATCGGACCTCTGAGCATCCCCGAAAAGAAAACAAACAAGGGTTTAGAGTTTGGGGTTTCGGGTGTATGATTTAAAACAGGGATCCTTACATTCTACACCTTGTAAATGGCGGTTTCCCTTTATTCTGGTGGAAACAGCCATGCTTCAAATGGGCAACATGTATCCTCCCTGATCAAACTAGTTAATTAATTAATTAATTAATTAATTAATTAATTAATTAATTAACTAGTCAACTAAATTAATTTTTCAAACTTCACAAATCTTCTTTTTCAAATCAGATCAAACCTTTGGGGCAGAAAGAGATACCGGAAACCACAAGAAAGCTCGGAGAGGAATTTGCAGGATGTCCGGCCTAGGCTTTGGAGCGTTTCGGAATTGTGTATGGATGTGTTGACGAGGCAGGACTTGAACCTGCAATCTCCCCAACACATGCCAGGACGCGCTGCCATTGTGCCACAGCCTCTGCTCACCATAGAGGGCATTGCTCAGCTTTCATGTTTGGAACCATCGATTTCAAGTTGAATGGTTGGTTGGCTGATGCGGAAATAGCAGGCCCTCCCCGTGATTGAAATTCCATTCCGGCCGAGGTGCAGAAGATGTCGATCCAGAGAGGCAGCGGGACAAGCACGAAAGCAAAGATCAGGAAGAAGAGGTTCCCGCGCATGATAACGAACTCATTCCTTGTCCCAGGGCTGACGTTGCTCATCGAAATCATCCTTCCTCCGCGTAATGCAGCAAGCACATGAACATGGCTGCATCTATGAGTCTATGAGGGCTGTTGAGAGGCTGACACCTTCATGAAATGCTCTACTGAATCAGCAAAGCATGCACCGGAAAACATCACCACTCTGGTTGCAAATCACAATTCCTCCAACAGCTTCCATTTGGTTAAGACCCCCACAAAAAAAAATAATAAAAATATGTCCAGTAGTGATAAATGCATTTCAAAACCGACCAGGGAAAATATAAAGCATATTCATTTCAGCAAATGGAAGCAAGGGATCCCCGACATGGAGATTCGTCCCAAACAGCAGCGGCTTTTGGCGCCAGGACCTTTCTGTTGTATCTCAGAACTGGTCATTTCCCACAGCCCTGCTCTTCACCCATCGTTCTCTTTAGAATCGCAAGAGATCTGATCAAGCAAGCAGGTGTCAAGATTGGACAGGTTGGGGGATTTTAAGTTCGGGCTTATTTCTCTTTAGAAACCACCTATTTTCCAGGGGCTTTGCAACCATTTTTCGAAGAGAAGGATCCCTGAAGAGAATGGAAAAGGAGGGTACGGCTAGAACAGTTTCGGGGTCAGTTCTTCCCACAACGCCTGCAGAAAAAAAAAAAAGCATGGCCATGGGTCAAACCCCCGTACCCCCAGTGAACATCCCAATCCCCACTAAAATAGACTAAAATGGGTGGTGCACCTATCCCAAAATGGTACTTTCCGACAACCCGCACCAAAGAACCAAAGGAGAACTTATTTCTGTTGCCCTCGCGAAACGGTTTTCCAGTTGACTTCCCTTCAATGCAAAACGGGTGGGACACTAAAAACTCCAAAAACGAGATTGTTGCAACCCAGAGTTGTGGGTTGCGGTGTGGTTCAACTTTTTGATGGGCAGTTTCCAGGTACAAAGGTACATGCCCAAAAAGGGGCCACCTCCGCGAAATCTTCGAATGGACCTTTCCATTTGCTTAAGCCCCCTGGCAAAAATCAAACATATTTTCAGTTTTTTTTCAATCATCGTTCTTTCCAAAAACCGGATCCGCGTTCCTTGTTCCGGAGGTTTTCTAGAAAGATTCGGATCAAAAACAACACAAATCCAAAACAAATCCTCAGCAAATGGAAGCTTTGCTGGCTGTGTGCGGGTGTTGAAGGCTTTTTTGAAGGCCTTGAGCAAGGCCGCAGGCTGCCCCCTGGCAAAAAGAAACAACAACAAGCACTATTCTTAAACAACTGGAATCCCAACCGCCCCCCCCCCAAAAAAAAACAAAAAAAAAACAAAAACTATTCTTGAACAAATGGAATCCCAACCGCCCCCCCCCCCAAAAAAAAAAAAAACACAAAAAACAAAAACTATTCTTGAACAAATGGAATCCCAACCGCCCCCCCCCCAAAAAAAAACCACAAAAAACAAAACCTATTCTTGAACCACTGGCCAAAACAAACCCCAGCCGCCCCAAGCCACGGGATCCCCACCCACGAGACCCTTCGCCGAAGCTGCGGCTCGTCCAGCTTCACCGGCCCTGGCGCGAGCGCTCTTCGCATTGGGACCCCCGGGCCCAAGGGCGGAGGCAGGCAACGGGACCCGGGGCCCGGGGCTGGTTTTGTGGGTTGGCGGTTTGGTGGTTTGATGGTTTGGTGTTTTGGTGGCTTGGTGTTTTGGCGGTTTTGTGGGTTGGTGGTTTGGCGATTTGGTAGTTCTGTGGCTTGGTAGTTTGATGGTTTGGCGGAAGAACGAGCCTCCAAAAATGGACGCACGATTCGGCAGCCCTAGATTTTCGGGGGCTGGCAATTTAACCACACAAAAAAAGGCGGACGATTCAGCGACCGTTTTGGGGCTGGCAACATGATTCCCATGTTGTAAGTTGGATTTTAGAGGGTCCAGGTTGATGTTCAAGGTGGAAGCTGGATTTAAAACAAGCTCTCATTATCCTCAGAGGTCAAAGGCGATGTCCCGAGCCTTTCCAGATCTGAGCCAAGGAGGCGCTACCTCGATCCCTTGGACTTTGTTTCATCCGCAAATGGGATGATAGATGTCCATCGAAAACCATTGGAGAGAAGAGGTGCCCAAAGTGCATCCCTTGTGACACCAGACAAGTGTTGCATCTCCGGGCTACAGAGCCCCTTCAAAAATATAGGTCCAACCCCCTTTCAGGTTCGATTCGCAGAGCAAAGCTGTAACTATCAAAGGAAAAGGGTTGGTCCCGAATTTTCTGGAACCCTAATCGCTGGTTGCCTGTTGCAGACCAAACTGAGAAGCCAAAAGACACAAAACCCGCCCGGCCCGGAAAAAATTGAGCACCACGGCTTCCAAAGCAGAGCCGAGCAAGTCGGGATCAACATCGCACAGAACCCTCGGAAAAACTCATCACAGCCCAGTTTGTTTCAGAAACACTCACAGCCGCTTTTGGTTGTTGTTGAGGCTACCCCCCCCTCCCCTGTTGTGAGGGGTTTAAAGGGAAACCAAGAAGCAACGACCGACAAATCCAGCTCGCGGGGGCCGATTCCACGGAAAAAGCACATGGACCTAGTGGCCAACTGAACTGAGAGGCGAAAACTAAATTTCTGTTCGGCCCAAACCTTGGGTGCTGCTGCAGGCCGTTGGGCAACTACAGGCGTACCCGTATTTGATTGTGACTCATGTGAGCCATGGTCAACACTCCTTACATGTCCTATGGTCATGGTTCAGAAAGGTGGAAAGGGAAGCCTCAATAAACATGCACCCCACTTGGAGGTCCCCAAAAATGGATTGATAGAGGACTCATAGATCCATCGAGGGCTCCTTTTTGAATCCACGGATGATGGACCTTTTGGTGGACATGGTTCTTGGTTGCTGCAAGGGCCCCTCTGCAACAAGTTGAACCTTTTTGTGGCTTTAGTTCGGAAAACCCAACTTGATTTTTTGAAGCAAAAAGCTAAAGTCTCAAGATCCAACCAAATAGCAGCCAAGCAATGGAGGATCGACTTTTTGGACACCTCTGGCCCCCTCAGAGTATTTTGCATTTGCAATAAGGTGACTTGTTTTTTTCCGGGCTATACCAGGCAGAATGGTCGTCCACATCCAATTCTTGCCTGGTCGGTGCCCCTACCAAATCCCGGCAATATCGAATCGCTGACCTCTCAATAAATTTGTCAAACGTGCTTGTACATACATAAATAATACATAAATATATAACACCTGGACCCTCAAACTACAGATTTAAAGACATGTAATAACTTATTCTTAAGTTGGAGTTTGCTCTCTGAAGAGACAAAGAGTGCACAGGGTCAGGATTTTACCATTCGCCTTTACGCGTATCTCTCATCGCCAACCCTCCACCTACCACATAGCAGGCGAGCCACGGACCGATGCCGGCTGTGCGTGGAGTGAGCTCGGAGTTGGCGAGTTCGCTATCTCATGCCTCAACTTTACTATTTATCCGTGGCTTATTGCCTCAGAATTCTGGGATTGAATTCCCTTCTCTGTAGTTTGAGGGTCCACCCTTCCCACCTGATCTCCCTCTCATCTCCCCGTCCGAACGGAGGCTCGCCACGCCTTTGGGCGCAGTGGTCCAAATGCGCTGCCACCAGGACCTCTGGCGGAACCGATCCGGGAAACCGATCCGTGGCTCGAGGCTGAGTTCCCCAGATTTTTAGCAAATCAAGCCATTGGTTTAGGGCTTGGGGTCTAGGGTCCAGGGTCCAGGGTCTAGGGTTTATTGTAATATTTGTGACCCTCCCAATATGTTACCAGACAAAGGGTCTTTTGAGGAAACTCCAAATGCTTTGTTCGTGGGGAGAAGGGCTCATATTTTTCCATGAACCCAAGGAAAACGGGCGGTCCCCAACGGTGTGTCAAAAATACTGAGCGATGGCTCGAGGGCCTTTGTGTGCTGCCGGCACGTCACAGCATGTCTTCGCCTGGGATCCGCGAAGCCTGCCTTTGAAGAGCTCAGCCAAGCTGCTTGACTTCGAAGCCAAAAGCATGTCATGCCTTTTGGTTTCCCTTCAAAAACCAACCAAAACGGAGCTCCCAAAAAACGACTCGTCCCCAAATACATGGGTTCTTCAAATGGGTAACCCAAGAATATCTAGGTCCTCCAGATTTGAGAGGTTAGAAAAATAATAATAATCCAGGTTTGTCTATTTTAGTAGGAGACCCTCCCAACCAAACAAGTTACAGTAAAAGGGCACTACCCATTACAAGGCTCACTCTCAAAACATGTATATATATATATAAATATATATACATATAATATGTATATATATATATGTGTGTATGGGGTTGTCTTTTCTCGAGGTACCCCATCTTGACGCAGGTTCCGCAAGTTTCCCTTTACACCCAACCCCTTGCTTCGGGTGTCAAACAAAAAAAACATATATTTTGTTCCCCGCGTTTCACTTTGGGGCCCCTTCAAAGGCGGCACGGAGACCTGTAGGGACCGAAGCCATGAGGAGCTATGTCGCTTAGCCTCTTTCATGCTCAAGCCAAATGGTCTTTGAACCACCTCTTTGAAACCACCAAAACCTTAAGACTGTCTTCCCAAAAAGCACAATAAGTCTGCGAACTCAGGAAGTGACATTGTAGTTGAACCACCTCCTTGGGCTTCCCTTTAAAGCACCTAAAGAAATGGTCTTTGAACCCTCTTTGGGTTTCCCTTTAAACCCCCCCCCCCCCCCCGGCTTCTTCTTTTAAGGACCCCGTCCAACAAATGCAGCCCCCCCTCCGCCGCGGCACGGCTCGGGGGCTCCCCCTCGCTCCGCCATCGCGAAAGCTCTGCGCACATCGATGAGAACGGATGGGATTAGCGCTCTGCAAAGAAAAACTATGCGGACATGTGGATGTGCTTTGTTTTCTTTTGCCCCCCCCCCCAAAAAAAAAAAGAAGAAGTAGTGGCTTTCCTGTTGGTTTCCCTTGAAAACCACAAAGGGGCACTCTTCAGAAAGAAACAACATGTGGATTTGCTCTGTCGTTGCTAGCGGCGGCATTAGCGACCTCCTGGAATACTGCATTGTTTTTGCTTGCTCGTCACCAAACGGCAGGGGTGGGTGGGTGGGTGGGTGGGTGGGATATTTTGTGTTTCTTTTGCTTTTCTCGTGTCAGCCGTGTTCATGCCAGCAGTGGCTTTTCGAGCATGCAGACTCGCAATGTCACCGCCCTCTGCCATGGTGTGTGCTACTTCGTGTGCCGAGCCGCCTCGTGTTGGTTTGCACAGCCTTCACCAATCCTTTATAAGTGTAACGAATGAAACGTGTTCAGGCTAGGTGTCCAAGCCCTGCGCAAACATCCCTTCAGCTACATGTCTTGGTGGCTTTCTGCTCCCCTGCTAAAAGTTTAGCCTTTGGTGGTTTAATGGAAAATATGCTTGTTGGCAAAAAGTTAAAGTCCTAACATCCAGCACCAAAGATGTGGAGGACAACCACAAAGATGTTTACGCAGAGCTGTGGCAGACACGAGGTGCCTCGGCAAGGCAGGAAAACATCTCCCGCTGCGGCCGCGCTGGAATCCCGTAAACAGCCCCAAAAAGCTCAAAAACAAAAAAACAGTCGCGTTGGCCACTTTGGAACATGACGCACCCCACCCACTTAAAAGTAAAACGAGCTCCCTTCTGGGCTAGTGGAAGGCCATGAATAACGCCGGAACCTTGTTTTTAGGGGACGTGGAGTTCCTGTTGGTTTGCCTTGAAAGGCACAACAAAGCGGCACTCTTCAGAAACAAAAACATGTGGATCTCCCCTCAAGTTGCATGTGAGAGTGTCCTTTGTGTGGCACCGCAAATTGGACGCAAAGGGATTCTGACACACCCTCTGTGGTCAAAAATCCGCCGCCAGTTGGACTAGAAACAAAAGGAAAAGGCAGCGGCAGTTCCGCAGTCGGTTTTCGCGAGAGGCACTTTGTCTGAAGGAAGCATGTGGGTGTGTCTCCAAAATATCGCCCTGGATCCTCAAACTACCCATAAAACAAGGAATTCGCCAACCATGTTTTTGGGTCGCAATAGTTCAGGTTGGAATCTTGAGCATCACAGTGAGATCGTTTTCAGGTGTCTCCTAACGTGTAGAGGAATCTGCTTCTTCGACCCAAAGCCCCCCTTCTGGGTTCCATGTTGCGCTTGGGTGAAAGTAGATGCCATATGTTTTTGAATTCGGGCTTGATCTCCTTTGTGTACCTGGACCAAACCGTTTTTGTTCGGGGTAGTCTTGGGGAAACCGATCGGTTTTCCATAACCTCCTTCTGCAGTAGAGGGTCGACATGATACCCTGAAGCAAGGCCGGGTATTGGAGTAGGGGTATAACAAAGCTACCCCATGGACCCCGCCATGCCCCCGTACGTACGTCGCTTTTTCCCGGAGGCGCCCGGAAGTCGGGGACGCGGGTTGCATTAGCAGTGAAGTTGTCCAAAGCTGCCGCGGCTTTGAGGTGCCATTTTGGAGACTGTTTCTCACAACCCATGCTTTTTACAAAACATGAGGTGGCTTGCATTTTACAGCCAAATCATGGCTTTGATGTGCCATTTTGGAGACCGTTTCTCACAACCCATGCTTTTTACAAAACATGAGGTGCACTTGCCATGTTACAACCATGTATCATGCGCGCTTGCCATCTGAGTTGACTTTGGACAACCCATGGTAATTATCATGAGGCAGAAGATACGGGACGGAGCAATCGCTCCTTGGGTGAGGAGAGGAAAAGCTCCTGGAGCTTTCATCCGGGCCGCGAGACAGGGCCGGATCGGGTCGAGTCTCTCTGCTTAGTCCGTCCATGCCGCTTTTTTGCTTCAAACCCAGCAACCGGCAACCTGGACCCTCTTAGGTTCCAACTTAAACATTGGTTATTGCCTGCCCAAAAAAAATGGTTGGTGAATCCCCCTTTTTGTATGAGTAGTTTGGGGGTCCAGGAATAACATTGGTTATTGCCTGCCCCAAAATTATGGTTGGTGAATCCCCGTTTTTGAACGGGTAGTTTGGGGGTCCAGGAATACAGAAGCCTGGCAAGACCAAGTTGTTTTGGGCAAACAAATCCCTTGACGCCAAAACTGGAGGCTCGAACCGTCAAACCCAGCGGGAAACAAATCGCGTTCCCCTAATTTCGAATCAAAACTCGAGGCTCCGCTTGGTGCAGGGTAGGACTATCTTTGACAACCCCCTTCTCGAGCCGAGCCAAAGGTTCTCCGAATCCAACACGCCTTCGGCCCTAGGGAAGGCTGGCCCAACTGTAGCCTCGCGACAGAAAATGACACCAATTTATAAGATTCAGCCTTGGCCAAGAATGCATATAGAATAGATGCGTCCCAAGAGGGAAGCCCCTAGAGCTGGTTTCCTGGGAGTCATTTAGATAACCCAAATTGCTCTCACTTGAAACAATGCTTCATCGCTCTCATGCCGCCCCGTTGCCTACACCTTGTTGGGTGGTTTTACTAGTGACAGGCTTCCAAATAAAACTGTTCGCAACTTGGTGTCCCTTTAAGACCAAACCGTGCCGGAATACAAGAAGGCCAACCAATCCATCCAGAAACAGTTGCACTCTGGTCGGACGCTCTCGACGGCACCATGTTTGTTTTGGGAAGGTTATAAAACCCCACACTGCACCCCAGAAAGAAGGTTGTAAGCTGACAGAAACCCGTCGGCTGACTCGCGGGCTGGGTGTTTTTGCAGCGTGGCGTGACCATGGGATAAATTGGGACAGGATCCTTCTGCTATGTTGTCGGGAGTTTGGAATGCAGTAGCTTGCAATACATTAACCACTACAAGGATATCCATATATACATATACATACATTAAAATAACATATGTATATATGTATATTCCAATGAGCACACACGCATCTTTACTTCACTGATGCGGTGCAACTGACTCTGATCCATACCTTGTTTCAGCATTTGATTCCATCACAAATCCGCAGATGTGTCATTTCACAGGCTGCCATTTCGAGTCCATCTTAGCTGTCTTTTTTGTGTGTTTTTTTCGACAATTCCCCACTTGTTTGGTGGCTTGGAAGGGAAACGAGCAAGCAAACAAAAACTGTTGCCGCCATGAAAGCAAAGCCGTTGCCACCAATTTTGTGGGGTTCAACCTGAAAAGATGAGCAGCACCCGTGTCGGTCCCATGGTCCGCGGCTTTCAAGCGATCTCACTCGGCACTCGGCACTCGGCAGAGGCGAAGGCGAAGGCCTCAGCCGAGTGATGAGGCGCCCTTAACCAAGAGTCGGCACCTGGACCCGAAAGACATAACTGCTCTAGGGGTAACTTCCCCATTCTTTCCAGGGATCCTTCTTCTAGAAAACCACCAAAACCACTGAGAAATTGCTGGTTTTTGAAAAGAAATGGCTAAAAATAATGGGGAATCAACCCCTAGAATTGCCCATTAAAAAAGTACGGGAATCTTTTCCCCCGCCATTTTGTCGTTTTTGTCCTCTTTTTTTGTTTGGGCGGGGGGGTGCAGAGGTTCCCCCGCATACTTCCTGAGTTGGAAGTTTGGGGGTCCCCGCAACAGGATACAAGGTCTTCTATGATAGCTTTTTGTTCCGGTTCCGTGTGAACATCTGCCGCTCAGCTGATATGCAGAACTTCCATTTGGTTAAGACCCCTGGGGAAAAAATATATATATATATATATTAAAACAAAAGTAGTGATAGATTCCCTTTAAAGCCAACAGGGGAAAATGCAAAAATATTCTTCCAAAAGGAGTTCCAACAAAAACTCATCCCCAAATACATGGGTTCTTCAAATGGGTAACCCAAGAATATCTAGGTCCTCCAGTAGAGAGGTTAGAATAAGGGCACCAACTTTTTTCTGTAGTCAATTTTAGTAGGGGAACCCTCCTAAAAAAAGGGGTAAACATGGCACTACTGGGGGACCTAGGGTACCAAACAAACTTGACACACCCACATTATTTTAGCGGGAATGTCCGATATCTGCAGAAACGCCGATCTCAATCCAGCCCGAATGCCCTCTCTCTCTCTCGGCCAAAGGGGCGTTTTCTCTAGCGCAAGGGCTGCGTCATCCTTGGCTTGCGAAAACGCCCTGCGAGGGACTTCCCTTGTCTGACATCCCAAAGAATCCGCTAAGGTTTGCTCTTGTGGTAGATCCCAGTTACCACAATCGTTGGTAACCCTTCGCCATTCTCCTCTTAAAAAAGAAAAAAGCCAAGCACATGGATCTGGAAAATGGCCCATGGGAAGCTCGTGCATGAGGCTGAAGCCTGGGATTCAACATTTGGCCATTGGGGTTGATCAAAAGTGACCTTTACATGGGATGACCATTGGTGAACCCCCCCCAAAAAAAAAGAACAGCAAGAACATGACTTTCCCACTTGGTGTTTTTGTGGCCAGGAATATATTGATCAACCCCCCATTTTGGCGGTTTTGCTGAGCACCTTTGTTTGCGTCAAACAAATATGGAAAGGACGCATACCAAAACCAAAGGCCAGCACATCCAGGGGATGTCTAGACAAGGCTTGAATCCGCAAAAGAATAGCTTTCAAAAGATCCCAACACACGCCCCGAATGCAGTGAAAATTTGCCATGTCCGAACAAAAGCAACGAGCATCTCAAAAGCTGGCAATCGCCAGTAAGACCCATGATTGGGCTTTACAAGATCAAGGTGTTGCCATATACAAAGTCCTCGCCCTCAAGTCGGGAAGATCGAAAACCATCGCCGCGTCTACCTGCGCGATTTTGCACATGGCATAGCCAGTGGCCCCACCTTTGAGCCTGAGGAAAATTCAGGCCCCCACCTTCAACCAATATCCGCCCATATCCATACCTAGGTCCTGTAGAGAGGTTATATTCGGGTACCAACTTTTTCTGGATGTCTATTTTAGTAGGGGAACCCTCCCAACAAAAAAAGGCGTGAGAAAAATACAACAACTGGGGGACCTAGCAGCTGGCTTTTTCAAATGGATGGTGGCTGAAGAGGGACGTCTTTTTTTCTAACAGGGATCCTTACATTATACACCTGAACATTGCCTTGTCAATGGTGGTTTCCCCTTATTTTGGTGTTGAAAAAGCCACTTGTTTCAAATGGCTGCAAAATGAATTTCTTTGAAGGAGCCCTGCACAAAGAAAGGTGGAAAGGGAAGCCTCGAGACACATGCACCCCACTTGGAGGTCCCCAAAAATCGGATGTATAAGGGACTCATGGATCAATCGAGGGCTTTGTGAATCGACGGGGTATGATGGACCGTTTGGTGGATATGGCTTACACGACAAAATCGACGTCCGCCGATCCTTCTTCTCACTTGCCCAAAGGACCTGCAAATAAAAGGTTAACCTTTTGGGACCTCTACTAAAAATAGACCAAAAAGGGAAAACCAAAAGGTCAGATCCAGTCGATTCGCTTTGAACCACTGAGTCTTTCGTGGGGTTCACGATTGCGAGCCCTAAGGACCCTCCCGAAGCTTCGAAGCGGCAGCGTCGACTGGGATCCGCAGCTCCCGGCCACGGGCTCGGTCTCAGAGTTCGAGGACCGACGAGACGAGAAGTTTCGAGGGCGCGTGGCTTGGCGCGTGGCTTGGCGCTTTGCTGCGCGGTGCGCTGTTTGGGCTTTTGTGTTTTGTGGTGTGTCTATGTTATACGTGTTTTTGAACTATGCATTGATACATTGATACATTGCTTGATTGATTAATTGATTCATTGGTTGATTGGTTGATTGGTTGATTGGTGGATGGATGGATGGATGGATGGATGGATGGATGGACGGACGGACGGATGGACGGACGGATGGATGGATGGATGGATTGGTTCTTCGGCGTTGCGCAGCGGTGCGTTGTTGGTTGGTTGGTTGGTCGGTCGGTCGGTCGGTCGGACGGTCGGTTGGTCGGTTGGTTGGCTGGTTGTTTGTTTGGTTGTTTGGTTTCTGTCTATATGTCATACGATTCCCGAAGATATAGATGATATACACATATGCATATGTGTATATATATATATGTGGAGCGACCGCGAGGCACCGGCCTACCAACTCTACCTCAGCTTCCCCAAAGCAACCTATTTGATCTATAGTGAGCCGCGACATCGTCCCCACATGGAACCGAAACCGGGAAACCGGGGACGCAAGTGGCTTGGGGCAACCCTGTGGACATCCCTAGGCCTCAAGTAGGTGTCCAGCAGGGCAAGAGCGCATCCATCGAGACAGGCCACTGGTCGAAATACCCCCGGGCCTCAAAATGGTGTGTGTCTCGAAGAAGCAACCCCCCCCCCCCCACCCCCAAAATGGCGGTTGTTCTCTTCGTTTCTCCTTTCTAACCGATTTCCCAAACTGGTGGCTGTTCTCTTGGTTTTCCTAACTTATCCGATTCCAACCCAAGTAATAAAAATAAAAATAACAACAAAACTTTTTTTTTTTTTTTAAAAAAAAAAGAAGAACAAAACGAAAAGGCCGGGGCCCCCGTGATCTTGCTTCGGAGATCTCCGATGCTGATCTGAGGCGCTATGAGCTGTTGGCCCTCCAGGCGCTGCGCGCCGCAGCGCCGGCAGAAGTGGGAGTCCGGCCTCCAGCACAGCCCGCCCAAGACCGAAAGGAGCCGAAAGAACGATGTTGAGGGTATGTTGGGGCTCCGAGTGTAGGAAGTTGGAATTTTGAGGCTCCTGGTACACTCGAAAATTGGTGAGGTTCTCTTAAACTGAAGAGAAAAAAGGGGGCACCTACCTGTTATAAGTTGGTCTGCTAGCCGGTGGTTGGAAGGGAGCCAAGGAGAGGGGTATCCAAATGGGGGGACTAAAAACTCGGATCCCGGACCATACCTGGACCCGAAAGAACTGCCCACAAAAAAGGAACAATTCACCCACCTTTTTTTTGGGGGGGGGCTGCAAGAATTCTCGTGTTTAACTCGGAATTTTGAGGGTCCGGGTGTGACGTTCTTTTCGGGCACCCTCCTTCAAATGGTGGCGTTGTTTCCCTTTTTTAGGTCCCCTTGATTCTCCATGGTGATGCCTAGGACATACATGGTCCCCGGCTCCGGGTTCCCAGCCCCCCCCCAATGGTATCCCCCCCTGGGCAGAACCCGACCCCAAAAAGCGGTACACCCAAAAATGGGACACACCCAGTTGGTGCATTCTTGTGAGGAGGCCCAGGTTTGAGGCTGGGCTTTAAAGGAAAGGCCAAAAGAAAGCAACTGCCTGAGGAGGTCGACCTCAGGAGTGAGATCGATCGTCCTGACCAAGCAGCATGTAGGTGTTGCCGCAGCTATGGCAGGTCACTTCAGCCACCTGTCCGAGCGGTTGAACAAAATACGGACCCCGTCTTTGGATTTTTCGGGGAAACAAACTGCCTCAGCTTTTGCGCGCCCGACCGGAACAACTTAAAGGTGAAGATTCTGGCCCATACCTGATGTAACAAACATTTCAAGATAGACTGACTGAATCGTTGCCACATGAAGTTCCTGCATTCTCACGGTGTATCACAGCTTTCCGTCTGTCGCTGCAAGCCTTCACGCTTCGCAGCCTCTGATTTCTGAAGGTCACTGGAAGGAGTTGCGGATATTCCTCTTGCAGGTGTGCTTTGGAGGGACTCCCAGAAATGGTCCTTTGGGTTTTCCCTAGAATCCAGATTTCAAACAAAGGCTACACACTTCAAGCTTCTGCACTTCGACCCTTGCACGTGGGGCTCAGGATGAAACTACAGGTTGTCAAAGTCAGTTGTCGTGCCCCTTCAACCTACTATTTTGGCCACTTTGAGAATGCAAACCTCGTCCTTTTTTTTCCACTCCGGCCTTTTCGAAAGTACAACTGACCCATCAATCCTTCACCAAACTAACCCATCAAAAGGACACCTATTCCCCCGCCCCCTAGGATGCAGACTTAGAGTCTTTTTTTTCAACCTGCTTCATTTAGGGTATTGGTTTTTGTTGGTCTTGGCTGCCACATATCCTCTAAGTTGGCACCTCCCCTTGCTCCGTGCCTGCACCTCAGCGGCTCCCCGCGGCGCACCACACTTCCGGCAGAAGTGGGAGTCCGCCCTCGGTCGACTCGTCGACTCGTCGACTCGGGCGAAGAAGAAGCACGGGAGAGTTCCCAACCCAAGGCGTCGTTTTTGGAGTCGGTACCCCTTTTTGGGTGAACCAAAAGGACAACGACGATTTATTTTGGGAGGGGGGAAACTCACCTCAAAAAATGGAAGAGTTCCGAGTGCGGCGGTACCCCTTGTTTGGTTGGTTTTAAATGGGCAACCAAAAGGAAAACCATCATTTTGGGGGGAAGGGTCACCTGAAAAGAGGAAGAGTTCTGAATACGGCATGGTAAGGCTGCATACTTGACGCCCTCAGGACGACTCCGCCGGTCAGATGCGCTCGCTGTCTGGTGTCACGAAGATTGAGTCGTGGACGTTTTGGCCGCCGCCACCCCCTGCAAAGGTGGCGCAAAATGCCATCCGCGTCACAACAAGACCCTGACAAGACGAGTGACCATTCAGGGGAAGTCCGCGGTCTTCCTTACCCAGCACTCCTGCCTCGACCAGTCAATCCTCCCAATATCAGCTGCTTCGCAAACTCAACCAGCAAACGCCGAAAGCGCCCACATGTCATGGATCACGACCAAACGCCACCCCCTGCACACAACTCAAATACAAAGGGCTGAATAAAAGAAAGCAAAACCTTCGCTTCACAACGATCCCACAAAGGGAACATGGCTCGGACACCTTCTTATTTCAACCCTTACGCTCAGCTCCCCCCACTGGGCGGTCTGGATTGGTGGTGGTTTAGGAGGGGCTTCCCATGTACCCCCGACAACCACCAGACTTCAAATCCGAACCACCGGGCTCCAAACCAGCAACTGGGGGAAGCTGATATGCACGCCCTGCCATAGGTGTTCGTTTGGTAGATGGCGTGAATGGAACAAAGCCAAACTAAACCAGTGCCACTATTTCTATCCACACTGACCTAAATACCAAAAAGGGCACCTATTCTCCCTGCACACAAAAAAAAAAAATCGCGAGGCGTTGCGCTCCGGGGCCGCGGCATGTAGACGTTGCCGCAGTGGTTGCAGGTCACGGCGTCGGAGCCGGAGGTCCGCGCCGTGCTGAGGCCGGAGACGTCCTCAAATCAGGCGCTGTCGGCGTCATCAGGCAGGCAGGCGGGCGGTGCCTTTTCTTCTCTTTTGTTGTTTTTCTTCTTTTATTTTTTTTGGGGGGAAGGTGCTTCCCCTGTTTTGTTGTTTTCCTTTTTTGTATGTTGTGTTTCGTGCTTTTGTTTAGTTGGCGGGGCGGGTGCTTCCCTTCGTTGTTTTTGTTGATTTGTGCCGTTTATTGTGTTTATTGTGTTTATTGTGTTTATTGTGTTTGTTTGTTTGTTTGTTTGTTTGTTTGTTTGTTTGTTTGTTTGTTTGTTTTTGCGGGAGGGGGGTGCTTCCCTTTGTTGTCTTTTGGTTTTTTGTGGTTGTTTATCGTGTTTGGTTTTTTGGTTGGCGGGATGGGGGGGTTGTTGGCGGTGGTTGGTGTTGCTTTCAAACTAAAGACTGTCGCATAGTTTTTAGCAGTCCATCTCTCGGGAAACTTCCCGTGTCAGGTTGGTTTAAAGGGAAACCGGAAGGCGAACCTCGGCCTTTGCTGGGCGCCTTAGCTTGACTCATGCTTTTGTAGGTCTTCCAGTAGAGAGGTTACAGGGCACTGGGGGACCTAGTTTTGGTGGATGAATCGAGGCCTGCTTCCCCCAACCTGCAAGCCTCAGCTCGTACCTCCCAAGTCGCTGAGCCCGCTACTGCGGCAGGGGAAAGGCTCGAAGCTATGAAGCTATGAAGCTGAGCTGTCCGCATAGGCGGATCAATTTGAGGGGGCTGAGTGAAGATCTCATGTTGGGGGGGGGGAACAGCCCTGCATCGGGGTCCCTTTTCACCCTGGTTTTAAAGAGATATACGCATACCAACGCTACTATTCTGGTTGAATTTCTGAATCTTGCACAGAAATCTGGGCAAATCCATGGTGTGCGGTTGGTTCTCTTGCAAAACTCTTTTTAAAGTTGGACCCCGAAGATGGGAGGTTTTACCCTTGGTTCCTGAGAAACCTACACACATGGTGAGGAAATGAAGAAGCTGTGGCCCTTTTTGGGACGAAGATTTCGCGCTGTCTTTAACCACTCGGCCCACCGAGTAAACAAAATCGTAGGTTCAGAGTCTGCTTCATACCAAAAAATACTTCTGGGCATGCTTTAAAAGTGTAGTCTAACCTACCCAGGGCGGGGAATGACCACTTGTGTGATACAACAAAAAGGGCTTCCCAACGACTATGTTGTTCATATAAACGGGGGATTCCCAAAAGAAGTGGGGAGAAACCCCGGGAAACCCCAGGTCCATTCCCGAAACCCTGGCCCCGCGTCGACGCCGCGAAAGCAGCCAGCCAATCCCGTGAACCGAGGGGTTCCTGGCATCCACAAAGGAAACAACAAGTTTGTAATATGTGTAGATATAGACAAACTGAAAAATGGATAGATGGATGGATAGATAGATACATCAATGGATAAACAAACAGATAGACAAATGGATAGAAAAAAAACAGACATTATATACATTTACTTGTCATTTTATGCATATCCTCATGGGTGCGCTGTCAGACTTCTGTCTTTGTGTTCGGGGCCTGATTTTTGTGCCCCGCCCGCCGCTTGTTTCCACCTTGGGCGCTGAGAATCACTGAAACTTCACCTTCTCAGCTGCCCAAAGGGCCCAACAATAAAAAGGCCAACCTCTGGAGGCCATGGCGAAAACATAGACCAACAAGAGGAAACCTACAGGTCAAAAGGTCGGCTTTCGGGCGTTGGTGCGCCTTGCCCTCGTTGGTGGTTTTGTTTGGTTTGGACGTCAAGGAGTACCTTCCCCATTTGGATGCAAAAGGGACTTCTGCGTCAAGTCCCCAAGCCACCAATCCAAACCGCCGATTAGGGGGAAGCTAAGAACTGCGATCACTGCGCACACGCCCAATGATAAGAGGCCCGTTGCAGAGGCACTAACATGGACCTGTGGCAGCCTAGGAAATTCGGCAACGCTGAAGGCTGAATGCTGGTTTTGAAGAGGGCCGTGTATTGCACGACGCACTGCAAGTGCGTCTGCCAGGATATCTCTTATACATAGAGATAGTTTTGCTGATACATGTATGTATTTATATGTATACATATTGTACATACAAAAAACATGTGTGTGTATATATATATATATATAGCACTTTGCATCTTAGCGTCGGCGCCCCAGGCGTTGCCAACGTAGGCCCCGGCATAGGCCGCGTTGCCGCGGCACATGGTGCTGGGCCTGGGCCGTTTTGTTTTGCGTTTTTAATCGATTAGTGGGTTTGGGGGTTAGACTTGAGGTGGTACTAGTAGTAGCAGTAGTGCAGTAGTAGTAGTAGTAGTAGCAGCAGCAGTAGTAATAATAATAGTAGTAGTAGTAGTAGCCGAAGTGGGAGTAGGAGTAGGAGTAGGAGAAGTAGCTTAGGAGTGTGGAGTGGATTGGTGGATTGGTGGATTGGTGGGTTGGTGGATTGGTGGTTTGGTGGTTTGGTGGTTTGGTGGTTTGGTGGTTTGGTGGTTTGGAGGTTTGGAGGTTTGGAGGTTTGGAGGTTTGGAGGTTTGGAGGTGGGGCGAAGGGGTTGGAGTGGACAATGTCTTCAGTGGGTTTAGGGTTTAGGGTCGCGCCTTGTTGTGGTGTGGTGGTTCAGGAAGGGTTTTCAGATCACCCTCTAACCCCCCAAGCCAATCCAAACCATACCTCACATCGAGTGCTGATGTAGGCTGCCTTCCCCTCAACTCCCAAGCCAGACCACCATCAAGGGCCACCTGGATTTCACGTGGGCTTAAGCTGTTGGGGGCAATTTCTTAGCTATGACTCAGCCCCTCATATCATTGCCCTCATATTATTGGGACCCCAATCGTTCACATCTTCACCTAGTGTGTGCGACCAGCAAGACTGGGATACTGGGGAACTGTGCGTGTTCCCGATATTCTTGCTCGCTTGTTCCCGATATTGTGGCTGCTATTTATTTTGCCGGCTTGAGGTCTCCAGACACAAAGCCCTTAGGGCCCGCCATTTAAAATCGATCGGGGACCAGCCAAAACCCCACCGACCCCACTCTCAGCCAAGGCACGCTGCCCCCAACACGGTGCCTACATGAGTGCCAGTCCCACTGCCCACGCTGTAGGCAGTGCCTACTGCAGTGCCGCCGCTGTATGCAGCGCCCGCGCTGGTGCCGTAGGCCGCGCCCGTGGCAGTGCCGTAGGCCGCGCCCGTGGCAGTGCCGTAGGCCGCGCCCGCGGTCGTGCCGTAGGCAGCGCCCGCGGTCGCGCCGTAGGCGGCGCCCGCGGTCGCGCCGTAGGCGGCGCCAGCTGTGGCTGCGCCGCCGCCGTAGGCCGTGCCCACTGCGGCGCCGCCGTACATGGTGCCAAGCTGGCCCTCCTGGCAATGAGCCCGAGTAGTGTCAATGTTGCTTGCTAGGCGCCGCCGCACATGGTGCCCGTCATAGCTCCCACTCAAACAGAACCCCCAAGCAAGTTAAACCACAACCGTACTTAGCCAGGTCCTCCAGATTTGAGAGGTTAGAACAAGGGTAGCAACTCTTTTCTGGTTTGTCTATTTTAGTGGAAGCCTCCCAACCAAAAAAGGGGTTGGCACCGATCGCTGGGACTGCTGCCCAAAAACCTCCACGCAAAGGCGTGGAAGGAACGACCCATTCCCACGCCATGTGTCAGGAAAGGCGCAGCTTCCAAATAGGCGCGTCCTTTTAAAAGGGCAACCCCTCTTTTGGCGGCTTTAAAGGGAACCCATAAGGAAACAAGGTGTTTTTTGTTTTTAATTATTTTATTGTATTTTTTGATTTGTTTAAGGTGTGTTTTGCTTCTTCTTTGTTTAAGGAGGTGTTATTTATTTATTTTTCCGGGGGGGGGGGGGTCCAACCATAAAAAAGACGAGCCCAAATGATAAACTCAGTTCTCCGGAGTCCTGCAGCAGCATTGCCTCGCCCCTAAGCCAGGCGAGAGGGATAGGAGTGCAAGTACCTGTACTGCCCAAAACGAGCCGTGAAGGAGCCTTATAAGGAGCTTTACAAGCATCTTTACAAGGAATTGTACAAGGAGCATTGCAAGGAGCCTTAAAAAGCTTAAACAGAGTAAGGAATTTCACCCCATCATGTTGGGGCATTAATCGTCGCACAAAAACCATCAGGCTAGCAAAACAAAGGGGGTAATTTGCCGACCAGAATTTGGGTTGGGCCGTAACCCAGGAGTTGTTTGAAGGTTCAGGGACAATTTGCAGAGATTTGGAGCATCCATGGTCAGTTCCTCATGTTCCTCGAGAGGGAACAAGGCTGGGCCTCCGTCTTGGAATTGTTGGCCTTTCTGTCAGAACAACTTGGCCGGGCTGCAACCACCTCCATCTGCGACTACGTCCCCTGGAAAACAAAAACAAATATGTCCAGTGAGAGATACCCTTAAAACCCAACAGGACGAAATGACAACCTGGACCCTCAAACTTCCAACTTAAAAGTGGGAATTGCTTGTGCCGCCCCCAAAACCACTGGCCGGTGAATCTCCACCTAGTTTATGGGAAATCCTGTCGGGCCCATCCCTCCACCCCAACTCCACCCCAGGAAGAACATATTCTGAGACGCCACTGCCAAACCCCGTGAGGATTTTTGTTGGGTAGAGAATGGGGCCCGATTTTGCTGGCTGAATTCAAGAGGGCTGAGCGACCCGCTCCCCATAGCAGAGACTTCTCGGTGCAGCCCATGCATTAGCAGAGACTTCCCGGTGCTTGAGAAAGAGAAGAAGGATAATTGGTTTTTTGGGTACCCTCCCACCAGCCAACATGGAAGTGCAAAAAGACCCCTGTAGAAAGACCACTGTCCTCTTGGAAAGTTGGCCTTTGGGAAACTTCCATGTGGCCATGGGTCAAAATCCAAATCGTACCCCCAGTGAACATCCCGATCCAACCACTAAAATAAAGCCTCAAATGGGTGGTGAATTCACCAATCCCAACCAAAATGGGATCCCAAAACGGTTTTGACCACCACAGCCATATCAACAGACCATCTCTTGGAATACTTGGAACGGAAGTCTGATGAAAAACACAGAGACACAGAGACTCTGATGAAAAAAACAGAGTCCGGGGAATCATATGGCCATATGGCCATGGCTTTTTGGGTATAGAGCACCATGCGCCGAGTCCCGTCGGGCGAGGCCCTCACGCGTTTGCGTACCGCGAAGTGACCGTCTCCTGGAAGGATCCGCCGTTGGCCCGCGCAACCCGAGGCGACCGCTGGGGCGATTTCGTCCGAGTTCTTTAGGCATCGGACGAGCCCAAAACGGACATGTTGCGGGTGCTTCTTTTGGCTGCCCTGTACACGCCCCAGAAAAATAAACTCAGGTGAGATCCCCAACAGCACGCGGTGCGCTTTTTGGTGGCGGAAGCAAACCACCGATCCAAGTCACCAATCATAGCGCTCCAAGCTTTCAGCGGTTGGGGAAAATGGGGGGGAGGACCAACTCCAAAAAAGACAGACCCACTTGGAGTTTCCGTGAAAGATAGCCGCAAACGCGAAAAGGCCCGCCCCCCTTTTTTTCGGGTAAGCCGACTAGACCAAGTCTCCTCATGTGCTTGCTGGTGCTCAGTAGGGAATGACGGAATGACCTAATCCGTCTGTTGGGAATTAACTGTGTAGGGATTCCGAGTCAATCAAACGGCAACCACCAGTGAGATGGTTTATAGGGGGCATTTCCTCATTTCCTCCAATCAACCCAGGGATTCCCTAGAGAACCAAATCGGATGGATGGTTTTTCTCGGGGTCATTCCATCTTTCCATTCCCTGAGCCGCAAGCGGGTGACCCCCCCTCTTTGTCCTGCGCGAACATGCCCGGCGCGAGGTTCACAGTAGTCACCTCAAAAAAACAAACTGGCGGTTTGCCTTTGCCCCTCTTTTTCGGCTTCCTTAGAAGGAAAGGTGGAAGGAAGCCTCAAGAAAAATGGCATCCCACAAGGATAGGTGGAAAGGGAAGGCTCACCCCACTTAGAGGTCCCAAAAATGGGATGATAGGGGGGGACTCATATATATGTATATATATATATATCAATCGACGGCTCCCATATGAATCAACAGGGTATAATGATGGACCTTTTGGTGGACATGGTTTACACGGGAAATCGATGTCTGCCGATCCTTCTTTAGAGGGTTCACTTTGTTGCAAGAATGGCCACGGAGTGCTTGGCAAAGCGTTACAAAAAGGTCCTATTCGACTTCGCCATTCTTCAAAGGTTGGTGGAGCAAGGCGTCCTCACCGGCAGACATGTTCGGGCCTAGAGGTGCCCGTGTTCAAACCGCCAGTCTTGCTTGCTTGTCTGCTGCCTGTTTGTCGATCCAGTGCCGCAAGCCACAAGGTGACTGCCAACTGCCGTGGGTCGACGAGCTCGCACAACTCGCCGAAAACAAACCACACACGTATCTGGATGAAAGAAACCTCAAGGCAACCACAAATCCATCCAAAGAAAGCCCAAAGACAACCACCAATCAATCCGTCCAAAGGGAAGCACAAAGCAAAGCAACCAAACACAAGCAGTCGATTCTGAGAGGTGAACAGCTGGTTCAAAACATGTATTGGCCAATCAATGTTCCATTGGGAGATTGCTTTCGCGACCAGACAATTCGAGGCGCGGCTGTAGCCGGAGAGACCCTGGGACCCAAAAACTATCAAAGCTACCGTTTTGTTTTTTCCCCGAGGGCTCATGTCCTTATTAAACCTAGGTCCTCCAGTAGAGAGGTTAGAATAAGGGTACCAACTTTTCTCTGGTTTGTCTATTTCAGTAGGGGACCCTCCCCAAAAAAAGGGGTAAAAGGGCACTACTGGGGACCTAGAAACCCTTCCTACCCCACACTTTAGCCTTCCCCTCAAGAAGTCTGGCGGTCAGGGTCGATCCGGCGGTCAAAATATGTTGATTGCGGTTCATATTTCGTGAACCTTGGAATGGATTGTCCGAACTTCGGGGCCAAACAAGTCGTACTTCCTTTTTTCAAAGCTAAAAACGTGCCGCTGCGAGAGATGCAGGGAGTGAGGCATGGAGTGCCAAGAGACAACCATCCAACTGGCTTCCCTTTCAGGGGACCAAAGCAGCTGGGGGAAACCCACCTTCCCTCGCAGCAAGACTAGGTCCTCCAGATTTGGGTGACAACAAGTGGGTACCAACTTTTTTCTGTCTATCTTAGTAGGGGAACCCTCCCTTCCCCAAAAAAGGTTGGTGAGAAAGTTGGCACCGATCGCTCGCTGGACCTCGAAAATCGGCGACTTTCTCCGAATCCGAGACCCAGGGCACCAAAGCAACTGGGTTTCCCACATTCCCTACTTAACCCCAAAGCCTAAACCGGGCACCAGCCAGAAAATCGGTGATCCCCCCGACGACTTGCTCGAACTAACTTACCCCCGGGCCCCGCGCCACCGGGGCTTCATGGGACACCGAGTGCTCCGTGATCACCGCGGAGACCTCCACCTGGTCCGACAAAAAAAACGAAAAGGAGCAGAGCAACTCGGCCTCATCTTATATTTATGTTTCAATTGGTTTTATCTAAATTTATTTGTTTGCATAGAACATGTCGCCTTTCTTGCGTCCACCAACCATAGAGGGTTGTTTAAACCACCTATGTAGAACAACTCGGCCTCATTTCATTTCTTGTTCAAAAACATTTATTTACATGTCTTTATGTGCAAAGGACATTTCCCTATGCTTCCTCGACTAGTCTTTAAATAGTCTCGAACCATTTAAAAAAGAAAGGCTATAAAAGTATGTCGAAACGAGAAATGAGTAGAACAACTCGGCCTCTTTGCAAACCAACATTTCGAAAAATTTGTGTCCACCAACCATAGAAGGTTGTTTAAAACTCAAAAGAGAGGAAAAAACAGTTGACACAAAAGGGGGGAAACCCGGACTGATTGGATGTGAATCCCCGAACTGACCCACGTGAGTATTTGGAGGGGAAACGAAAAAGACGCCAACCATTGTTGCCTGCTGCAGGAACATTTCGGAGATTTTGTGTCCACCAACCATAGAGGGTTGGTTAAACCATTCAAACTCACATCGCCTTTGCAAACCGCATCTCGGGGATTTGTGCCCAGAGTTGAATCTGCCTGGACCCGAAAGAACTACCCATCAAAGAAAAGAAGGAGAATTCACCAACCATCATTTCTGTCAATAACCCATGTTTAAGTTGGAATTGTGAGGGTCCAGTTGGTTGCCAATCACATTTCGGGGAGTTGTGCCATTCCAAGGTGGGTGGACTCAAACCATTCCTCGGTTGCGAAATCTGCTCCCCTGCCAAAAGTTGAACTTTTAGTGGTTTTAGTACGGAACACCCATTTGTTGGCAAAAAAGTTAAAGTCCTAACAGCCCTCGGCAAAATGCGCCAAAGATTCATCAAATCGCCATGGGTGTGTGTGTGTGTTTTTGTTGGTACGGGTACCCTTGAGGTTGGCGGACCGCGAAAGAGGCGGGAAGAAAAGTTGTTCCCCTTAGCTTTAAGACATACCCGTCTGGGGAAATATGGCTAGGTCCTCAGGTTAGAATAAGGGTACCAACTTTTTGCTGTAGTCTATTTCAGTAGGGGAACCCTCCCCAAAAATAGAGGAGAGAAGGGCACTAGATGGTGCGAACAAACCCTTTCCAATTCCCATGACATCTCTTTCAAAGGGGTTCAGTCGGGATTCTGGTTGCAAATCACCACGGATGACCGAAAAAGAAAGAAAGAAAGGCAACGAGTTGCAAACCCTGTAAATGCCCATGGTTTGTGGTTGGTGTACTCTCCTGCAAACTCATATTAGAGTGGCCCCAAAGGGGATATTGGATATTTAGACTACCCAAAAAGGGGGATTGTGAGGACCGCCTGCAAGCGGACAAATGGGTGTTTCTGTTTTTGAGGGTATCCTCGTACCCCCTGTTTGGGTTTTCAAAAGGAAACCCAAAAGGAAAGCCGAAGCCATTTTGGGGGTGAGTCCCCTAAAAAGACACACCTGGACCCTCAAAATTCCCTTAAACATGTTTATTCTTTTTAAACATGATGGTGGGGTGCAGTTGTTGGTCCTTAAACGTAGGTTACAAGTTTAGAATGATGGGGTGTAATTGTTTTTAATGGGTACATAGTCTCAGGGTCCACACCCAAATCTCTCATTTCCGCCACTCTGGCGCGATCCCTCCTCGTTGCTCGGGAGGCTCACGTGCCGCACAGAGGCAACAGGAGCCTCGTAGATGCCTGGCAGGGTGTGTGCTGCTTTGAGTCGGTACGTTTTCTTGGGTTTTAAGGGGGTTCCCACCATGAACACCGCTCCAAGGGTGTTTTTCTTAGAGGGGGTTCCCACCATGAAAACCGCTCCAAGGGTGTTTTCTTAGAGGGGGTTCCCACCATGAAAACCGATCCAAGGGTGTTTTTTTCGAGGGGGTTCCCACCATGAAAACCGCTCCAATGGTGTTTTTTTCGAGGGGGTTCCCACCATGAAAACCGCTCCAAGGGTTTTTTCTTAGAGGGGGTTCCCACCATGAACACCGCTCCAAGGGTGTTTTTCTTAGAGGGGGTTCCCACCATGAAAACCGCTCCAAGGGTGTTTTTCTTAGAGGGGGTTCCCACCATGAAAACCGCTCCAAGGGTGTTTTTCTTAGAGGGGGTTCCCACCATGAAAACCGCTCCAAGGGTGTTTTTCTTAGAGGGGGGTCCCACCATGAAAACCGCTCCAAGGGTGTTTTTCTTAGAGGGGGTTCCCACCATGAAAACCGCTCCAAGGGTGTTTTTGTTAGAGGGGGTTCCCACCATGAAAACCGCTCCAAGGGTTTTTTTCTTAGAGGGGGTTCCCACCATGAAAACCGCTCCAAGGGTTTTTTCTTAGAGGGGGTTCCCACCATGAAAACCGCTCCAAGGGTGTTTTTCTTAGAGGGGGGTCCCACCATGAAAACCGCTCCAAGGGTTTTTTCTTAGAGGGGGTCCCACCATGAAAACCGCTCCAAGGGTGTTTTTCTTAGAGGGGGTTCCCACCATGAAAACCGCTCCAAGGGTTTTTTTCTTAGAGGGGGTTCCCAACATGAAAACCGCTCCAAGGGTGTTTTTCTTAGAGGGGGTTCCCACCATGAAAACCGCTCCAAGAGTGTTTTTCTTAGAGGGGGGTCCCACCATGAAAACCGCTCCAAGGGTTTTTTTCTTAGAGGGGGTTCCCACCATGAACACCGCTCCAAGGGTGTTTTTTTCGAGGGGGTTCCCACCATGAAAACCGCTCCAAGGGTTTTTTCTTAGAGGGGGTTCCCACCATGAACACCGCTCCAAGGGTGTTTTTCTTAGAGGGGGTTCCCACCATGAAAACCGCTCCAAGGGTGTTTTTCTTAGAGGGGGTTCCCACCATGAAAACCGCTCCAAGGGTGTTTTTCTTAGAGGGGGGTCCCACCATGAAAACCGCTCCAAGGGTGTTTTTCTTAGAGGGGGTTCCCACCATGAAAACCGCTCCAAGGGTGTGTTTTTTGTTAGAGGGGGTTCCCACCATGAAAACCGCTCCAAGGGTTTTTTCTTAGAGGGGGTTCCCACCATGAAAACCGCTCCAAGGGTGTTTTTCTTAGAGGGGGTTCCCACCATGAAAACCGCTCCAAGGGTGTTTTTCTTAGAGGGGGGTCCCACCATGAAAACCGCTCCAAGGGTGTTTTTCTTAGAGGGGGTTCCCACCATGAAAACCGCTCCAAGGGTTTTTTTTCTGAAAGGGGGTTCCCACTTTGAAAACCGCTCTAAGGTGTATTTTTCTTAAAGGGGTTTCCACCATTGAAAACCGCTCCAAGGGTTGTTGTTCAAAGGGTTTCCCACCTTGAAAACCGCTCCAAGGTGTTCTTTTCTTAAAGGAGTTTCCCACCATGAAAGCCGATCCAAGTTGTAGATGTCCAGTCTATTTGTGGATCACGCCCCATTCCTCATGGCATTTTGAGGTGCGACAACCAGGCAGGCAACACGCAGAAGCCCGCCTCCGTGCTCCGCCTCTGCTGTGCCGGCCACCACCTCCTGGACTCTGAAGTGCAACCAACGCTGTAGAAGCCATGGGGCCACTTGCTGGTTTGGTGGCTTGATGGTTTGGTATGGTGGTTTGCCCACTCCTTCACCGCTAGAACATCTAAATGCGGAATGACAGGTCCGGAAACGTTGCAGCCGGGCAGTGGGAAGGCGTGTTTTGACCGAAACTTATCAGGTGATCAAATGAAAGGGACCAAAAGGGGAGCCCAAAAAGGGGGCAAACTGAAAGGTGAACGAAATTGATTGAGGCCCAAACGGTCAGCTTCCCTCCAATTGGCGGTTTGGAGCCCGGTGGTATGGAACATAGGGCTGGTTTCCCAGTCAGCAAGAAGAACTAGACCAAGGGGTACCCTGAGACACGGCCGCAAAAAAAAGTACGTGATACTAAAGTTGACCACTTTTGTGAAGACTTTGTCACTTGAAAACATGCAAAATGCTGTTCGAATCGCAGAGCTCAGCAAACAGCCAAGAAGGGGAAAAAACCGCCTAGAACACCTTCCGGAAAGGGGCACAGGTGCCCCTTTCCCCCTGCTCGTAGTCAGTGACCCATGACTTATGTGCTTTGTGTTACATGATTCGTCGTTTGCAAATGTACAGGTGAGTGCGTGTGCTTGCGCCTGTTCGCGCCTGCTCGATTTGCTGCATCACCTGCATCCCCAGCCAACGCACTCACCCGCATCCTCTGCATCACGTGTATCCTGAGCAAGTCCTATTCCTTGGCATCCTCTGCATTACCTGCATCATGGCATTACCCACATCCTCAGCTATCCCGCATCCCCAGCATGTCCTGCATCACCAAAGGAAAGCTTTCTCCGAAGAGGGTTCAACGGCGTTTTGAGAAGCCTAGGTTCCTTCAAAGGAAAATCCACCAGCTTCCAATGTGGGGAGTAAGTCGGGGCAGGTAGTCAGAGACTCGGCTCGGGCTTGATTACTTTTGCAAGATTGAGGTATGATTTCTTGAACCAAAAGACGGAAGACAAGGCCGATTGTTCCCACTTCTTTGATAACTCCTCCTTAAAGCAAAGAAGTCAAGTTGGCAAGGCCTTCCAGTGGTATCACGACACGACCGTCCCGGACCTTCCAGCGCAATGCCCCGCAACACGGAACCCAGAATCTTCGTTGAGTAAGAATAGGGTTTGCTCCATCCTGCGAAAGCCAAAGGCTGACCAAAGGCATTTTGGGGACAAAATGCGCAGCTCGCAAAAGCCTTGGTCGCAGAAAAGCACCCGCAGTGATCGTGCTGTTTGATGTTTGATGCTATTTCTCCAACTTGCCTGCACACTCATGAGTTGTCTGTGTACTTTTGAAAAGTGCAAAGGGCAAGTGCATTTTAACATGGTCTTCTGCATCCCTGGGTCACTGGCCCACTACATCCCCAAAGGCGCGGGCTTCTTTTCGGCCCATGGGCTTTGGCTCATGGCGGCGCAGGAGGCTGGTGATAGGCCCAGCCTCCCCAGAGGCGGCCTGAATCTCAGGGAAGGGAACTAAAACTTCTTAAGGGAACTGGGACCAACGAACTGGCAAACGGTTTCTTTGGCCATGTTGCTGACATGCTAAATCATTTTTTGCGTCGCCGATTGACAAATTTGCATTGGGAATTGCTTCAAGAAAACCCAGCCCCGCTTCTGCCAAGACGCTCGCTTCTGCCACTCCACGAACTCGTGCTCCCAAATGTAGAAAACGCTGAGCCCCTCCGCAGTGAACAGATCGAGGCGTTCCATGGTGTCACGAAAGACGTCCGCTGCCAGTTTGCCGGCCACGCAAATGAAGCTGGTATGCCTTGAAGCAGAATGAGTTGCGAGCGGATGACAGAAAGCCCATGTTTCAGCAGGTACTTGTACTTTGGGGGTACGACAAGACGCAACGAAGCTGCGATATGTGCTACCAAGTAGCTGTGGATGCTCCACGGGAAAGCCGTGGTAGTAGTTCCCCAGAAATTCAATCACCTCACGCTTCTCCGGGTGGTATGCGTCGGGCAGCAACGCACGCTTTGGAATCAGACCTGCGAACTCTTTACCGGACCAAGTGCCGGTAGCTGCATCAAATCTGTGCCGAAAAGGGAACCTGTAGCCTACCTCCTCCTCCAACATGTCAAAACAATTACTTGCTGCGCGCGAAAAGTTCGATGAGGACAAAACGTGTGCGCCAACCTCTGCCGCATGGACTGCACAGAATTGCCGAGGCTTGCCAGTAGCATCTGGATAATGAGCGCGCTTTCCGCACACAAGGCACCTCAAACTTACAATGTCCACCATTCCATCCTCTCTGCAGTTGGCACAGCAAGTTGCCCGAGTACCACCTGGCATCCCGAAAGATGGTATGGCCCTGCCACATCTGCATTTGGGGCTCTTGATGTTCACCATCCCATCCTCCTTGCAGTTGGCACAGCAAGTTGCCCGAGCATCACCTGGAATCCCGAAAGAAGGTTGGGCTCTGCCACACCTGCATGTGGGGCTCTTAATGTTCACCATCCCATCCTCTTTGCAGTTGGCACAGCAAGTTGCCCGAGCATCACCTGGCATCCCGAAAACTGGTTCAACTCTGCCACACCTGCATTTGGGGCTCCTGATGTTCACCATCCCATCCTCTTTGCACTTGGCACAGCAAGTTGCCCGAACATCACCTGGCATCCCGAAATGCGGTCTGGCCCTGCCACACCTGCATTTGCGGCTCTTGATGTTCACCATCCCATCCTCTCTGCAGTTGGCACAGCAAGTTGCTCGAGCGTCACCCGGCATCCCGAAAACGGGTTGGGTCCTGCCACACCTGCATCTTCGGCTGTTGATGTTCACCATCCCATCCTCTTTGCAGCTGGCACAGCAAGATGGTCGTGCGTCATGCTGACATCCAAAAGAGGGGTGGAGCACGCGTCCGCACACACAGGAGCCAGACTGCCCTGCCAGTGTGCCGCCAATGTTCGTTCTATACGCCAGGCTAGTATTGCCAAAGAAGCCGGTGGGCGTGCTGCTCTTGCCGTGGTTGCTCTCTCCTCACAAAACACGACGCGTCAGGAACAGCCAGCATGCAGCCCAGGCTGCAACCAGCGCCAGAAACAGCAACGTGTTAATTTGTTGAGAGGCTGGAAGAATGAAACATCCATCTTTCTTGTGGCTTCCTTTCGGGAACCAAGCATTTCTGGGTCATCTCACACTCAGCCATCCTCCACGCTGCCCCCGGACACCGCCCAGCGACTCCCCTGCGAAAGGGCGCCAACACTGCACTGGACACGGCAGCGGCGCCTGGCAGAGACTGCGCATACCAGGCTTGCGAACGACTTGGCATGTCACAATTGCCCCGAAGCTTGAACAACCATACTTGAAGAGATCTCGGCACGCATGATTGAAGCCCAACATTTTAAGTCAACATGAGGTGGAACGCATGCTGGTACAGAACCTCCACGACAAAAATCGGATTCGAATCGTTCAAAGGATGGACCTTGGGGTTCGAAGGACGGACCTTGCAACTGTTGCCTTTCTTGGAAAAGACCTCATTTAAACAAAGGTTCCAAAATATCGGATTAGTGCAAAGGATTCACCTTGCAGTTGTCCAAAACAAGCACCCTTCGTCTTGAATCTTCTCAGATCCCAAGAAGGACAAACCCCGGGCGGCGGATGGAAAGACAGCCCTCCGCTCCCGCGCCTGGGCCCGCAGAAAGCGCACAGCCATGGCACGCGGCCGTGCCATTCCGCTCCACGCTCAGAAGTAACGGGTGACACGCAATGAGAAGGCAGACGTTCTTCCAGTGCCAAGTGATTTCAAGGGGAAAGGGAATTCTGTGAAAGCCCGGCACCTGGAGAAGATGTGTTTTTGGAGAAATTTGATGCTGAAGATCTAAAAGAGGTTCAGAAGCCCTCCTACGCACGAAAAAGGAACCCGAGGAAAGAGTATCTGAAGGAAACCAGTGAGCTTCCGTCACAGTAGGTGAATAGCCATCCCCTTGCGGCTTCCTGTACAAATGAGGAATTTGTGGAATTATTAAGGTTGATTAGCATCCTGCTTTGAGTAGCAATGAACCAAATATCAAAGGCCTTGTCGGTACTCTCAATGGTCCAGTCGAGATCAACAAACCAAGAGTTAGTGTAGCAGGTTGAATTGTACATGGCGGATTTCACCATGTTCGGCAATTAAGTGACCCAGCATAGCCAGGGGTTCGTTGTAACATACAACTATTAACATACTAGTTGTGGCTGTAATTACAACTACATGTAGAAAAGCATGTACGTATAATAATATAAAAAATGCACATGTGCATATGTATACACATTTGTGTGCGGCTTTATACGCATATATATCCATGTGTATAACTGTTCATGCATGCTTTATGAATGTGAGAGGGGGGATACATTTTCAGGAACGCCAAACACCCAGCTTCCTCTGTTCAAAGGACGCAAGGGAGTCTTTGAAGCAATTTGCTACCAGTAAACAAACAACGAAAGAGGTTTCACTGCAAGCGCCTTTGGAAGCCCAGGTTCGTTTCCACGCGTGTGCACGCGCGTGCATCTGATGTATGCATCAGTTTGTGCCTGACTGAGCAGCATGTACCTGCGAAGCTCGCGGAACTAAATATCACATAAGTGAGCTTGCCTGAATCAAACGTCGGCTTCACACTACGAGCTTCTAACCAGCGCACGTCGTCACACAAATAAATGTAGCTGGTTGGCTTCCAACATCAGGACCCCGTTGATCTTTGGACGCAAAAAGGGGAACCTACAGAAGATGTGCCAGGTAAGATTCAGTGTCCACTCTGAAAGTCTGTTGACTGGTGCTTTGTGGGATCCAAACACGTGGGGAAATCAAAGCTGCTGCTCCAAAAATGGAACTCCCAAAGTGGCACCGATGGAAACAAAGACCAAAGACGCCTGCGGTTTGCTTTGGCCAAAGTTTGAGCCACGTGAAATGGCCTGAAAGGCCCCCCACTTCAGCTCGTTCCCTGCCTCCTTTGTGGCAGCGCGCTGGTATTGCCAGCCTCTCGCCGAGATTTTAGCCGACCCACTCGAGACAAGGTCGACGAAAAGCGAAGCAAAATAATTGAGCAGTCCATTTTCTGACCCCTGCTGAAAGTTTAGCTTGTGGTTAAATGGAAACCCCCGCTAAACCCAAAAAACCGCTAAGGGACTGAAAATTGGTTGGAGATCCCGGAGAAATTGTTCGCAATCCGCAGAAAAATCTACAGGGGAAACCACCCTTCCGCAGTCCTGCAAGAAGGCGATAATTAGGGGATTCCTTATACGAAGCTGGCGCTTCGCAGTGTGGGCTTCGCGATTTATCTCGGCAACCTAGTGAGACACAGAGAAACCACGACCATCTAGCAAGGAAGAATTGAAGAATTGAGTTCAAACCCGGCGAAGAAATGAAAAGCTCTTCAACACATGCCATTCCACGCAAAAAGCCGCGGGGAACAAAAACCGTTTCGCACGTTTCGCCATCCTGCACGCCTTCCGGCGGCCCGGGCTGTGGTTTTGCCCACTACCAATCGAAGGTCGCGGTAGAACTCATGGAAATGGACAGTCCCCTGGTACAGCGGCAAAAAATCCCATTGACACCACCCTGTAAATCTATAAATCTCTTTTTTCTTTGGCGCAAGGGAGGGACATTAGATTCTTGGCGTCGACATTGTCCAACTTGAGTCGGAGGTGCCCCCCCTCCCCCCTCGACCCTCAAAATTCCGATGTCATGCAAGTCCTTGCAGGCAAACAAAAAATGATTGGTGAATTGCCTGACTGTGCTTAAAGAGTTAAAAAGGGTGATTGGATTGCAACCCACAAGCCATGGTGGGTGAACTCCCTCCCATGAGAAAACTCCAACTTAAAAATGGGTTGTTGCCCTGGGTGATATGTTTCCCCCCTTTTTTCATGGGTAGTTCTTTCAGGTCAACCCACAAGTTATGGGGGTGAAACCGCATGAAAAGATTCAACTTCATGGGTTTCTTGCCCGGGTCGAAGGCACCACCGGTGAGATGTTTTTCCTTTCGGGTCAATTTTTCCAACCCAAAAATTAGGGTTGGTGAGTTCCCCCCCCTTTTTTGAATGGGTAGTTTTGCTACTTTCCCTTTCGGGTCCAGGTCACCGGTGAAAGACCTCCAATTGCTCAAGTCCCCTGGAAAACATAAACATATTTCCAGGAGCGCGCGAAGGGCCGCCTGTTTGGATGATGCGCTGCTGCATGGCCCCGGAGGCTTTCTGCCGGATCACCTCATGCTGCACCACCTGCCGTTTTTGTTTGATGGATTTGTGTGGCCCGGTTTTATTCGGATGGTTGGCCCAGTGGATGGGGGGTGGGGGGTGGGGTGGGGGTGGGGTGGGGGGTGGGGTGGGTCTGGGTTGATGTTTCGGTCGGATTCCGACCGCAAACAAGGAACGCGACTCCCTGTTTGGTTCTTGCTAGGAACTCCTTCCCAAACAGAGAAGCTTCCAGGGCTTTTGGGGATATGACCTGGGCTTAGGTGCCCCAAACTGGGAACATAGCCTGGCAAACGAATCCAGTGGAACCCAAAATTCCAAACTGAACCATGCAAAGGCCCCCTATGCACCTGGGCCGTTTTCGTTTTTTCTGGTGGATTCGTTGACCCGATCGTGACCTTTGCCCCGGAGGTACCAAAATACACATGGCTCGGAAAGCCTCTTATTTGGCCCCACCCCTGTCAATCAACCCTGTTTATTAATATGGAACTGTTCTCCTCCAAAAGTGGACTCATTCCCCACATTTCACGGGGAATCACCCCCCCAAAAACATAAACAGGGGGTGATGAAAATCTCGGGTCAACCCATTCTTTCCAGGGATCCTTCCTTCTAGAAAACCTCCGGAAACGCAGGTTTAAAACAGCTGGCTTTTGAAAAGAATGGGTCTCAGCCCCAGAATGGTGCTGTTGGAATGGATTTGGAAGCCTGAAATGTCAAATTTCCTTTTGGATTCCTGCAATGGCAAACCACCCCTAGGTCAAGGGAAAAGATGCCCTGGGGAAGCAACCCCTAGAAAGCAACAGGTAAAAGCAGTGGGTTGGAAATCCGAACCAGGTCTTCATCAATAGCACCGATCGAGAATCACCCCCCTATTCATAAAGAGGGGTTGACGCAAAAAAAACTCGGGTCAACATTGGTAGATAACCCTTCGGCTTCCTTTAGGTAAAACCCATGGATGGTTTAGTGGGGAATCGGACCACTATTGGAGGGGTCACTAAGCAACAGGTATAATTGTGGAAAAATGGTGGTTTCCTTTTTATTTGGTGTTGAAAAAGCCGCATGTTTCAAATGCATTTCTTTTAAGGAGCCCTGTCTATGCAAAGAAGCAAATGAGGAGGCCGCACCGATATGGGTGGGACTGTCCCTTAGTAACCTTCACTTACCCAGGTATTTGTTCAGAAAGGTGGAAAGGGTAGCCCCAAGAAACATGCACCCCACTTGGAGGTCCCCAAAAATGGATTGATAGGGGACTCATAGATCAATCGAGGGCTATGAATCGACGGGGTCTGATGAAGAACCTTTTGGTGGACATGGTTCTTGGTTGCTGCAAGGACTCCCTCTGCAAAAAGAAAAGCCAAGCGCTTTTGGTGGGTTTGGTTCGGACAACCCCAACTTGATGTTCCCCTTAAAACCCCTTGATTTCCTGTAGGTTCGGTTCCACCGAGCCAGCGGACCCCCGGGGGTCGGAGTCCGCGCCTTGGGCACCTCCACGGCGGTCTCCCGCACCAGGTTCACCGGCACCGGGATCACCTCGAGACCGCTCGCTCGCGCGGAGGTGATCCCGCGCGGAGCGCGGGCAGATTTGGCTGCCCGTGTTTTCGGATCCCCCGCGTTCTGCACAGGGATCCGGAGGCAAATGAAAAACACCCGAACATTGCAACTTGTACATGGCGGTGTCCAACTTTAGTTGGGTGTTGAAAAAGCCACATTCTAAATGGTGGCAAAATGTAACTTTTAAGGAGCCCTGTAAAAGTGTTTGTAACTTTTAGTGGGTGAAATTCGGACACTGCCACTAAACACTAAAAGGCTAAAAGGCTAAGGAACCGGATTGCTGGAAGCCACCAACATGAGGAGCGATGAACAAATCCCATATGGCTATGGGTCAAAACTAAGCGCCAGAAAACTAACCGCGAATCATAGTCCTTGTTTCCATTTACCTGGAAATCATTTGGGGTACCTATTCAGAAATGTGTGCCCAAAATGAGTTGCCCTGGTAAATGGAAAGGACTAAACCAGCGGTCCATATCCTAGCCCTGGTGGTGACGAATTTTGACCCATGCCCATATGACCCAGCTTGGACCCACCCCAAAACAAGGGGTTGTCCTGCTGGCTCAAAACAAGGGGTTGTCCTGCTGGTTTCCCTCAAAACAAGCAAACAAACAAAAGCAGGTACCCTCAAGAAGTGTGTCTTGAAACAGCTTGGACCCCCAAAAAACACGGGGTTTCTGCTGGTTTCCCTTTGGCACCACCTAAAGCAGGTACCCCAGGTACTGTTGAGAAAATGGGACTCCCATTTGAGCAACGCCCAAAAGCCGATGACTTTGGCCGGTTCAGGATGGTTTCTAGCTTGATGCGGGAGCACACACAGCTATTTGGGTTTGTCTTTTTTTGGGGTTTAGGGGGGAAAAAAGAAAAGGTGTTTTCCTGTTGGTTTCCCTTTTAAATCCAACCAACAGAAATGAATCCAAAAAAAAACATGACACCCATCTAAAACTTTTGTGGCCATGGGGCTTGGGGCTCCCTCTGCTCAAACTGTCTTTTCAAATCTGGGACCGAGACTTTGACATGGGGGTTGATCAAAAGGTCCTTTACATACTGTGGATAGTTGCGAAATCGATTTCGCACCACCTAAGAAAACCATGGTTGAAACCGTTGTTTCTTGGTATTTACATTGGAGTCATCATTCCAGGGCTGCTCAGGTGGTGCAGGATTTCGTCCATCCGCAGTAGGATGACCTTTGGTTGGGGTTCCCAAAGGATTTGATCTTTCCACATGGAAAAAGTGACTCATGGTCTTGGGGGGCCCTAAATGGAATATTGATCAACCCCCCACACGTTTTATGTAACTCTGGTTCACGCAATGGAGCATGAACAAATCCCATTTAATCCCCAAGTCTCCATTTGACTCTGGCATGAAACATATGGACTTCACCATGGCTGCGCCTCTTTCTACCCCCAGAAATGGATCGGGAATGATGGTTTTCAATATTTGTTGTTTCCCTGTAAAGCTACCAAAAAGGGACGACCACGGTGCTACAATAGAACACAGCCACCGATGTTCGATGGCGGCTGAGTTTTTCGATGGGCAAAATCAGAGGGTTCCCTGAAAAGCAAAAGCAAGCATGTCCTTCAGGAAACACTGCACCCCCATGAGTCACAAAGTCATAAACAACACTGGGACTTCTGCGGAAGTCTATGCTAGAGCCCGAGCAATCAAAGGGCATAGAGAACTCAGAAACGGTTTTCCAAAATTTATCAGAATTTCAAAGTCAAAAAGGGTGAGGTTAGAATAAGGGTGCCAACTTTTTCTGTGGTCGATTTTAGTAGGGAACCGTGAGGGGGCCCTTCAGATCACCCGCCCCCCCCTCCCCTCCACACGACCCCAGCCGAAATGCAGCTGGCGGGCCTTCTCTACCACCTTGGTCTCCATGATCCTGTCAGATCAGATGACACCGTTCGTTCATTCCTGCTTGCTTCTTGCTTGCTTGCCTCTTTGCGCTGTTGTGTGTGTGTTTTTTGGGGGTAGCCAACACAAGTCATCTTCTCCATTCCAATTAGCAATAGAGACCCTGGAGTGTTGAAGGCCCAAACTGCAGTACAGCTCAAAAACTCCGTTCCAGCTCTATGTGTGAGCGGGCTATGACTTCAAACCGGCCCAACACGAGGCCCCGCGACATGCGCGTCAACTACCACACCCACCACCACCAGCACCACCACTACCACCAGCACCACCAGCAGCAGCACCACCACCACCACCAGCACCACCACTACCACCAGCACCACCAGCAGCAGCACCACCACCACCACCAGCACCACCACTACCACCAGCACCACCAGCAGCAGCACCAGCACCACCACCACCAGCACCACCACTACCACCAGCACCACCAGCAGCAGCACCACCACCACCACCAGCACCACCACTACCACCAGCACCACCAGCAGCAGCACCACCACCACCACCAGCACCAGCACCAGCACTACCACCACCAGCACCAGCACCACCACCAGCAGAACACTGCCGAGACACGAGGGGCACACGACACCTCAATTGGACACACACGGATCATTACACGGACACTCGGCACGTCCGTTAAACATCACCGGGACATTACACTACACAAACGGGACGCCGGAACACCACTGAAGTGCGAGCCGCGCATCTTGCATGGCAACACCTCGCTTTCACCAAAAGTCAATCTGCGAAGTAACCACTGAATCCACCCAAGAGCTTTGCAGTACCTCCTCAGATTTGGCAGAAAGACAATGCTGGATTCCGGTTCACCATAGACGCCAACACAGCAATTCCCGCCGGTGGAAAGAAAGGATCCCCCTATGAAACAACAAAACAAATTACACCAGCAAGTTAGAATCCTTCAACCGCAACCTTCAGCAGCCTTCATTTCCGCCACCTCTGAAGCCGCGCCGACGAAACCAAATACGGCCACCAGCTTGGTCTCCACATTCGTTTGAACGACGTATGCCCCAAACCATGAAACGTTGCCCTTCAGTTCGCAAATTCATGTCGACCCCGACAAGAAAAAACAAAACCCTATTTTGTTCGGGTGTGTCCCCTCCAAAAGTGATAAAAGAGGACTATTAATCAACTGGGGGTTTGCTAATCCAAGGTTTACATGTTTTGTCGTCTCGCCGAATCTCGCACGTTCTTCGTTATGCCAAGGCGCTTGGGGATGTGCTTGTGCACCACTTGCTTTTGATAGTGCGGCACCTGCGCCCAAAAAATCGGACACGACTTCCGAGGCGCGACCAAACAAGAAAATCCGAGGCCACTTTTTGGCGGTCCCAAAAAAAACCCAACCGCAGCCATTTGGGATCACGCTCTGGGGGTCCAGCCTCAAAGATACACCCAAAAAAAGGCGCCAGACGGAGCCGGCGGGATCGGGACCAACTTCTAAAGCTCCACCTTGTGTGACAACAAATAAGTATATAAGCTCGCAAATATAAGTGCATAAGTTATGTACAGGTACCAATAAGTTCGCAAATATATACCTTGACTTATATACACAAGTAAGTTCGCAAGTGGCAACCCCAAGAAGTCTGATGCCACATAATCCCAATTGGGCTTGAAGGCTCCAGAAAGCCTATCGCTACTCAGGCGACGAATGCCCACCTAAAGCCGATACTTATCAACCTGCAGAACCGATGCCGAGATGAATCGCTGAGAGACCTGATCAGCCGAGGAGAAGGTCGTCACCGACTTAGGGCCGCGGATAGTTGGCAACTTGACACTCTAAACCGATTGTTTGTAGGCGCTAGGACTTCCTTGGACTAATTCCACCAATACATGGGGGGTTGGACCCCACAAATCCTTTCGGTCCCCCCAACATAATTATCCGCCAAAAAACAGGGACCAGCTGCAAAAAACCAGATTGACCCGCATCTTCACGCCCCAGCTCCGAATCGCCCGTCCGAACAAAACCGGAGGTGAGGCTCCCGGTTGGTCGGCAACTTGCATTTGGGAGGGGGAATGGTCAGCACTGCTCGCCTCAAAACTTCCATTTGCGTAAGCCCCCCGGAGTTTTTTTTTTTAGTGATAGATTCCGGTTAAAACCTACAAGGGAAAATTAAAACATATTCTTAAGCAAATGGAAGAAAAGGAATCTTGGTTGCTCTCCAATGTGGCATCGGTTTGTGACTATTTCGACCCCCTGCTAATGCACAAACCCGAAAAGCCAGGGTGGAAAAATATGTTTTTCCAGGCGAAATAGTTTCCTTCCCCAAACAACTCATATGCAACTCGTGCTTTTCTGGCAAAAAAAAACAACTTTTTGCCGGTGAAAGGGAAATATAAGCCCAAAAGTTAAAATCTAAAGATCCAACCCAGCAGTAGACTCGGACTTTCGGGAGACACCTCATATTCCCAGGGTCAACTTGAAAGCGTTCAACACGCCCCTATACCCCCCCCCCCCCCGATCTCGCCGCGCATCCGATCGGATCCGGAGCGGAGCGGAGCGGAGATCGAGGCGGAGCGGATGGCCTCCTTGACAGCCTCGGCCACCTGGACCTGTGGGACGTACTTGAGGCGCTCCTCATAGAAGACCTCTCCGTGCCGCTGCGCTCGGGGTGGGCGCTCGGTGGCTCGGGGTGGGGTGGAGGCTTGGCACGTCGGCTTTTTTGGGGCGGCGACTGGAGCCGGCAGCTGGAGCTCGGCGGCCCAAAGTTTGTTCGGGTGTTTTTTTTTGGAGCTGGGGATGAGTTGTTGCATGGGTTTTAAAGGGAAAAAGGACACCAACCGAGTGTTTTTCAGGCGAAAGCTACCCCTGTTTGGGAATGGTGTTTAAAGGGAAGCTAAAAAGGGGGGCCAAGTAGGCGCGTGGACCCTGCCACCACGCACACTGGATGTTCGCACCATCAAAGCGCCACAACGATTCCAGGCCCTACCGTTGGTTTTCCAACCATGGCCACGCGGCGGTTGCCGAAAACGTGGACAAAGCAAGAGAACAACATCACATAGCTGGTAGTGCTCACGTCCTCGCCCCGAGTTTGAGGTTCTCAAAATAGGAATCGGAACCCCGGCTGACTTCCTTTTGGTTTCCCTGTAACTACCATGCAAGGGTGCCTTCAAAAAAAAGTGCCAGACCCTCTTCCAGCAAACTAATTTCGCGTAAGGGGCCCCTTGTCCAGTTGCAGCCGGCCCGAGAACCAGCAAACAACATTTTTAGAACAGACTTAGAAGCCTTTTTGGCTGGTTGATGCCTTTTTGGCTGGTATGCCATTTTATGTGAACCCACAAAACAAGAACGAGTTTCAAGGATGCCACTGAACAACTTCGAGAAGTGAGCAGAAACCTCCCAGAACATGGCTAATTCGGCGCCCAGCAGGATTATCTTCTCTAAAAACTGGTGGGTCCGTGCTCAACAGCATTCCGAAGGAAGGCCATGGGGATTCAAGAACCTCGATGCTTTGCAGAGCCGAAGAGAAATGAAGGCATGGCTAGGTCCTCCAGTAAAGAGGTTAGAATAAGGGTACCAACTTGTTTTTTCCTGTAGTCTATTTTACTAGGGAAACCCTCCCCCAAAAAAGGGGAGAGAAGGGCACCGATCGCTGGGGGACCTAGATGGTATCTTCAAAAGCGCCCGTGCCGTGGATCCAAAGCCAAATCCCCCACATTTGCTGGCAAGCCCGCGAGGCATCGCCTACACTACCCCCTACTCCAAATACCCTCTTCTTTCAGGGTATCATGTCGACCCTCTACCAAAAAAGGAGGGTTCCACCATGGAAAATCCAGATTCTCCTAAAACAAAGAAAAGGTCTCTTGACCTGTCCTCAGATCCCCCCCGCCCAAGAGTTTCACCTTTTTCGAGGGTCAAAAATTCGGCCACCAAAAATAACGAAACCAACTTGAAAGTCCAACAAGCCAAGGGACCGGATCTCGGTTCAGTGACCCTTTTGTGGGGCTTGGACCGATTTTTTCCCGTGGGGCAGCCACCAAGAGAAAAGAAGGGGAAAAGAAAAAGAAAAATAATTGCCACTGAACAACTGACAGGGCTGCCTATATGACCCTTTTGAAGATCACCCCCACCAAAATGAAACTCACTTTGAAGTGGCCAAAAAGGTGATGTTTCACACCACCAAAAAGGGAAATATAGGGAAGCCTGACTGAGGGATGCCTGGGAACCAACAAGTTGAGTAGGTACACCTGCGCCCAGTTTTCCACCGGGCTTTGCCTGCGGCACCTCCACGATCTTCTCCTCCGCCTGCACGATGATCTTCGGCACCTCCGACCACGGGCGCGGAAAATGGAGTGGAGGTTTGGAGGCCGAGGGGGGGGACCTAGGCCGTGTCTCTTATTTGTTCATTTCTTCCTTTTTTTTTATGACCCATCCACTACTGAGTTACTGGGCTGCCCTCAGATCACGCGCTCAAAAGTTTAAGTTGTCGACGCCGCCCCTAAGTGGTGGCTTGAGGAGAAACAACCCTGGCTCGTGGCTTCAACCACCAGAAACAGCTAAAAGACCAGCGGAAAATTGCAACCTTTGGGTGTGTCCATTTTTGGGGTAACCCCCAAAAAATGGTTGTCTTCCTTCTGGTGTTCCCTTTAAAACTTTCACAAAACATACATTCCCCCTACCCAAAAAAATAGACACCCTGGTCCAAAAACCATAACCCCTACCAAACAAATAGACCCTGGTCGAAAAACCATTCCCCCTACCAAACAAATAGGCCCTGTTCCAAAAAAACAATTCCCCCTACCAAACAAATAGACCCTGTTCCAAAATAGTTGTTCTCCTTCTGGTCTCCTTTTACAATTCAACAAAAAACCATACCCCCTAGCAAAAAGATAGGCGTTCCACAAAAAATACGGTCCTAAACGGACTGCAGCTTCTTTCGGTGAGCGCAGAGCGCTCGCTCAGCGCCTCCTTCTCCACCATCTCCACCTCCGGCTTCGGCACCTTCGAGCGCAGCTTGGTCCAAGTCTTTCACCCACGGAGGCGGGGGGGGGGAGGGTCCAACTCGGCCCACGGGGGCGGGGGGGGGGGGGAGAAAATGCTTGAGGTTCAGGTTCTGTTTCGGAGAAAAAAGATCGTCTATCCACATGTTGGGTAAAAAATCAAGAGGTTCAGGTTCTATTTCAGAAATTTCGCCTAGCCTACAATTGGGAATCGCCCAACTCTTTCACCCACCCCTGAAATTTCGTCTACCCTGCAATTGGGAATCATTTTGGAGACGGAATGGAACCCCTGTTCGTCAGATTGCGTGGTGGTGGATGGAACCCCGGATTCATAAACCCATGTGTAGTACTATTGATGTGTGTGGGTTCTGTTTCAGAAATTTCGTCTACCCTACAAAAGACATCCCTCTTCGGGGTTGGTTTTGAGGGGACACCAAAGTGAAACTAGGAAGTGAAACTAGGAATCGCATGTGGAGACAGCTCCAAATGAACACGAAGCAAGTTGTCGAAACAAAGAAACCGCAACCACACACAACCAAAAGGCAACAAGTTGTGCGGTGTGCCTCCAATTGAAAAGCCCCGGGTCATGAAAGCAGACAAACGCATTCCTTCTGACAGGGTTCGTTAAAGCCTACATCTGAACACCAGCTGCTTTACAATCCTCAAAACACCTGGTATGAGCTCTGGTTCTTGTGAACTGGTGCAGGTACCGTAGGGACCCCGACTTTTCGCAGAAATCACCACCAGCCCCCCCCCCCCCCCCAAAACACGGCGGACCCCTTTTTATTTTCCGATTTTCTAGGGGTACCTTCCCCATTCTTTCCAGGGATCCGAATCTTTCTAGAGAACCTCCGGAAACCCAGGGAAAACGGATCCGGTTTTTGGAAAGAACGATGAAAAAAATGGAGAAGGAATCACCCCCTGGAAAAAAGCCCAACAACCTCAGATGATGGCCGGGAACCAAGCTCCTAGGTTTAACTTTCAGGCGATATGAAAATCCCCGCTGGGCTGCCCTCAGATCCCACTGACTTAACCCCTGAATTATTTCACCGAAACCCGCCTGCACGATGAGCTCGGCCACTTGCACCTGCGGCACCTCTACAGCGCGCTCCTGGCGTTGCTTTTTGTTTTGTTTTTACGCGTCCCAATGGGGCGTTCGCTGGAAACCAAAAATGGAAGAACAAAACAACAACAACCATTTGTGGCCCCTGTTTATGGGGTGTTAATCTTTGGGAAGCCGTTTTTGTTGTAGCACAGAAGTGGATTCCATTTCCCACAACCCTGGTAGGAGAGGACAAATGTTCAACACCCACTGGAAAATGGGAAACCAAAAATGGAACACCATAAATGGAACACCATAAATGGAACACCAAAAATGGGAAACCAAAATGGGAAACCAAAAATAGGGAGCTGGCCGGTCTGGATGTGTCTTCTTTTTAGGGACCCCCGGAATGGTAAAAAAACCTTTTGGTTCCCCTAAGCCTCAAACATAGGCTGCCCTCAAGAGAGGATCTGCTTTCTTCGCCTTTTTTTCCCCGAGCGAACAGAAATCCTCCAGTCGCTGCTCAAAAACAGTCCGGACGCCTCATGGACACTTCGAAGGGGTCAGGTCTTGCTGCCTCCTTTGTCCCGTGGGCTTGCTCGATCAGAATCTGGGAGGCGCGTGGCTTAGCTTCTTCCAGGGATCAAGTCCCATGGTGCCGCCCAAGCTTGGCACTTCCATGCGTACCGCCCCTCAACATTGAGCACGAAAACGCGTGCTCAAGCGTGGAGATTCCCAAAAGTATCACAGAAGTGGGAATAAATCCCGAGTGATTTTTTCCACAACCCTGCGAGCCTCCTACACAGAGCAGTTGCAAGCGGGCCTTGGTCGAACGCCCTAAGGGTCATGACCCTTCCAACGCACACCGGACCCTCCAATGGAGAACCAAGACCCCTCAGGGGCCCTTGAAAACAACAAGTTTTGAGGACCCAAAAACACTCGAGACCCTCAGGGCGCACAAATAGAAAGTCACACACAAAATCGAAAACGGCTGGGATCTGCCAAGTGTCCCCTTCTTTGCTCTGCCCCACCCCACCCCAGGCGATGGATGGCTCCTGCGTCAACGTGATTGGCACCTGCCAAACGAATTGAGTGAGATCAGCTCGGAGACAAAAAAAAACTGTCTTTTCTTAGACCCTCGTTCTTTCTTTTTCTTCAGGTGGGGGGGTCCTTTTGGTTCTGCCTTACCGCAAAGGGGACACACCAAAATCCTGAAGCTGGTTCAATCCCCTGTGTTGCTCTGGCCAATCCTTTTTCGAGTCCTCATCCTCAGTACAAAACCCAATGGAAACATCATGGTTCATCCAAGCGCCGGCATGCACTTTCATGGCCTTGGGGCGCACAAATCTCTTGTACGAGGAACAGGGTTCCATTCTGGTACCGGTTTTTTGAGCCACAGCCATTTGTCACAACCACAAAAGTAGTCTCCACTTCAACCACAACCCTGGATAGCCCAGCCACCAATCTACCCTTCCATTGGTGATGTCCAAAATCGAGTTGCAACTTGTGCCTTGGTTGACGTTGGAAGGGGAGCAAAAATAATTGAACTTTAGCAGTTAAGTGGATTTGGATTTCAACCACTAAACCACAATAAGCAAACAAATGCAAAATGCTTCCCAGCAACAACCATGACATGACCTCGTCTCAAACCAGCTTGGACCCACCCCAACAACCGTGGTGCTGTCTTGCTATTGGTTTCTGGGGATATGTTCTTTCGGCTTTTTGTCCCATCGAGTCCTTTGGAACCGCCACGTCCTGCTGCCCTAGGTCCTCCAGATTTGAGAGGTTAGAATAAGTTGGTACCCTATTTTTCTAGAGAGGCTAGAATAACAACACACAACAACCAACACACACTAGGTCCTCCAGTAGAGAGGTTAGCATACCTTTTTTTTTTCTGTAGTCTATTTGAGTAAGGGAACCCTCCCCCAAAAAACGTTGACAAAAGGGCACTACTGGAGACTCTGCCGCAAGCTGGGCAAACTGGACATGTCATGTGGCTTCGTGCAGTCGTCTCTCGGTCATCTTTTTCGACATGTCCGATGTCTGAATCAACGACGCAGGGCACGTTACACACGTAGCACAAGTGTTGCAGTTGTAGCTCTCCACCCTCAGACTTTTTGTGCGCGGTTCAAAATCGTTTTACTCAAGATGGCGCCATCTATTTGGTTACAACTCTACCCAATCATTGGTTACCAATCATTGGTTTCACGATATACCCAACCACTGGGCTGCCCTCAGATCCGCTAAAGGCTTAACTCTTAGCGGGTTAAATTCGGAAACTACCACTAAACACTAAAACTTTAAAAGGATCTAAGAAGCCAAGTTGAGCCGGATGGCCTTCGGGCGCCAGACCATGGGTCACACCTCCACTGCCCCCATCCACTCTCCCAGGACTCCGAAAGCAGATCCTCGCCTCTACGACGCGCTCCTGGGGCTGGAAGAAGACCTGGCGCCGTTGGGCCGACTGCGTCTCAGGCAACCCTTTGGAGTCTGAACCCCGTGGTGAGATACCTCGGCAGTCTGCTCTGCTAAGAGTGACTAACTTTTAGTGGTTTCAGACGGAAAACGGATTAGTTGGCAGAAAGTTGTATAAAGTCCCAACATCTAAGCACAATGCACCAAAGATATGGTTTCACCACCTGGAACGCGATGGGTTTCCCAGGTGAATGGGCATGAAAGCCAACCCAAAGCACTGAAACCCATCGTGTTCGAACCATTCCGGATTCGAAACCTTCTGTCCAACAACACCAACCGTTCATGGGCCGAGCAGGTGGGCAAGCTTTGTTTGGCCTTACCCCCAAACCGGTGGTAGAAACAGAGCCAAGATCCGTAGTAAAATGTGTCAAGCACCGGTTTTTCTCAAGAACACAGAAGCCTTACAGTAAAGTACCGCAACACCTCCATGAAAATGGCCCCCCACCTCATGGGCCTTTTTAGGAATCCCTTGCCATTCCTCTCTCATCGGGAGAGCACGGAAACCTGCGTGTTACAAAATCCACTTCTCAGTTCGTAGGTTTGGCAAAATCAGGAAAAACCCGTCCTCCCACGTTGCCATGGCACCTGTGGGGGAGGCACGGAGGCACCTGGAAGATCTGTTTCCACTTGGAGGGACCGCTGCCATGTTAGTGGGAGAGAGTGTATTGGGGCAGTTTTTCGTCCAGCATGTCAGAATCTATGAGACACATTGAGTGGAAGACATGCTTAAGAGAATAGACAATAGAATTATGATTATTACGGAAAAGGCTTGATTCAACATAAGATTGTAAATGAAATGGTTCTAAGGTAGACAACTTTCATCTTGGGAATCCTTTATCTGTCTCTTTTCCTGTCTTATTTTCATTATTTCTTTATCCTGTGCATTTTCATCATGTAACTTCTAATGACCAATAATAAACCAAGCAAAATAAGATAGATATAAATAAAATGATAAAACAAGTAAAGACAAATCTAAGAGGAGCGCTTTAACGAAGTAAAGGCATCTTTTCGCACCATGCGAGAACTCCCAACTTGTTGGATACATTGGCCATCTCGACGGGAGCCATGGAGCCATTCTCGAGATTACGATTCACAACATTCCAGATCCTTCAGATCCCATTGGATTTACCCCCTACTCAAAATACCCGCTTTGTTCAGGGTATTTTTTGGAAAACCGATCGGTTTTCCATGGTAAATACCTCCTTTTTTTAGAGGGTCGACATCATACCAACTGAAAAAAGGCCGAGTATTTGGAGCAGCGAAAACGGGACCCGGAGCTCCAGTGCCAAGGTACATACCCCTTTTACATACCCCTTGGACAAATGAACCCCTGAGAGGCCTGCTGATGTTCATACCCCTCTCCCTAAAACAAATATATACCCCTTATTAAGTGGGTAAGCCAAGGGGTATGAACAAGGGGTATGTACTTGCACCCCTAGAGGAGCGCCTTTGGACCTCTGGCC